ATCATCGTCCTCCTCGTCAGTTCAGAGGAGTTCCTGCCTGTGAAGTCTGTGACAAAACACTATAGCAACAAACTGCACGTGATGGAAAAGCTTCAGCAGCAGGGCACCGAAATGACCTTTCAGGATTGACCCTTTTGTCCAGAGAAATGCAGCACAGAGTAAACATGCTGCTCATTAGGGGTGTTTAAAAATAAAGACTATCCAGAACATCCTGCTTTACGGACGTCCAGCTCAGAGGTGCTAAAAGAAATGACCTGCATTACGAAGTGAATGTGAAGAACAAAGGGAACATTTCTGTAACGTTCCAGTGTTAATAAGCATTAGAGACGTAAAGCAGACAGACGTCTGCACTGCGCACTGTTTTCAACAGTAACACTTAGAGGACTGTTGACGTTAACACTGCATCTGTCGTATTAGCATTTCACCATATATTTGGTAGCAGAGAGCAATAAAAACACAGCTGAATTACACAAATTATCTGCAATCAAAACAGCATTTTGTCTGACGAAAGTGAGAATAGAGTGATAGAAGTTATGAGAGTTTAATGTCAGGGATGATGCTGCCTGAGATCTATTTATAAAATTAAAATATGCTTTTAAATAAAACATAAAATGTTTGTAGGTGTATCGATTCTTTGTTTTTGTTTTTTTTCTCATGATTTTGAAGCTGATATGAATTCCTCGGTCAGGAACTGCTGGAACAGGGCCACAGCGGAACACCTATTGAAGTATTAAGTGAATATTTTGGTGTTATTTTTGTACTGATGTTGAAGTGCTCAACACTAAGCGGGCAGCTGCAGTCTTTCCTGATTGAGGCTGTAGATCTTTAAATTAATATTTATACTGTACTGTATCATACTTGTGTTTTTCTATATTTTACCTTTGAAGATGCTGCAAAACTTGAATGTTTTCTTCTTGTGAACAGCAATAATCTGTTTAATAAACACAAATAATGCTTCTTCGGCTAATAGCATTCTTGTTTTTTTTCTTGTTGCATGTTGACATTACAAAATAATCTGATGCAGAAAGACAACGATTTATTTAAGAAATACTTAAACCCAGGTCTGTGAAAAATAAGCTCCCCGGACAAAAAAAATTGTCAGCTTGTGACTAGGTGGTAGTAACTTCAGGCTCCTGCAGATGTCATATAAATACATGCAGGGTGTGTGACGGGATTCATAGATTGAGAAAAGGTGGCACAGTGCAGTGAACGTATTGTTCAATGTTGGGAAAATGGGTCGCAAAACAGATGTTAATGATTGGTGAAAAGGAGTGATTGCATTTAGGCACCGAAGGCCACAGTGTGAAGGAAGTAGCTGAATTTGCAGGTGTATTAAGCGTACGGTCATACGGGTCGACCAGCAGTGCCAAGAATCCCAGTCTACAGGAAACTCTTGTAAGAATTGTGGCTGAAAGACGAAACTAATGAACAGGGACTGCCGGCTTGTTTCATGGCTTGTGAATAAAAATCGCTTTGCTTCCAGACAAGAACTGCTTCTATAAGTCAATGCAGGTTCTTCACAACCAATTTCTGAAAGAACTCTCCATAGGGAACAGCATACCACGAACATACGGAGCAGAGTGGCACGCAAGAGGCCTTTGATCACTTCTGCTCACAGAGTTGTCCGGTTACAGTGGATGAAGAGACAAAACTGGACTGTTCATGACTGGAAACGTGTTATCTGGTCAGACGAATCTGATTCTGCCCATATGTGAATGATGCTGGGCATCGTGTTCATCGTGGACCTCAGGAAGCCTTCAATGAGGACTGTGTGTAAGGTGTGGTTCAAGCTGGAGGAGGTTCTGTGATGTTCTGGGGGTGTTTACACAGAAATGGGTTGGTTGGAGCTGCTGGACAACCAGGTTTTGCCTTTTGCTCATCACCTTACGGAGAAACATAACATTCATATCCCTGTTTTCCCAAGATGGGAATTCTTCTGGACTGATTCACACATCTGGACTGGCCCGAAAAATCCCCAGATTTAAACCCTCCTAAAAATCTGTGGGACGACCTGGAAGAACGAGTAAGACGCAGGGAAAGTATCCACAAAATCTGGCCGAACTACGCAATTCTCTGATGTAACAGTGGCCGAACACGGATGTCGCCTACATCCAGAAACTCGTCCAGTCCAGCCAAATCGAATCGCAGCTGTTATTTGTGCTGGTGGAGGTTTTACACGCTATTCGGTACGTTTCAGTCACAGGAGACTAATTTTTTTTGTCCAGTGAGTAGAATTTCTTACTAAATATACAACCCCATTCCCATAAAAGTTGGGACGGGGCAACAAAAGGCTGGTAAAGTTGTGTATTGCTAAAAAAAATAAAAAAAATAAAAAAATAAATAAATCACCTGGTGGCAACAGGTCAGTAACATGATTGTGTATTAAAGATCATCTCAGAGAGGCGGAGTCTTTCAGAAGTAAAGATGAGGAGGGGTTCACCACTCTGTGAAAGACTGCACCATCAAATAGTGCAACAATTCAAGAATAACGTTTCTCAATGTAAAATAGCAAAGAACTTATACTTTTCATCATCTACGGTACATAATAACATTAAAAGACTCAGAGAATCTGGAGAAATCTCTGTATGTAAGGGACAAGACCAAAAACCAGTATCTGCTGGCTGTGATCTTTGGGCCCTCAGGCAGCACTGCATTAAAAACAGACAGGATTCTGTAGTGGAAATCACTGCATGGACTCAGAAACACTTCTGAAAAACACTGTCTGTGAAAACAGTTCATCACTGCATCCACAAATGCAAGTTAAAACTCTAAAACGCAAAGAAGAAACCAAATATAAACAGGATCCAGAAATGCTGCCACCTTCTCTGGGCCTGAGCTCATTTGAAATGGACTGAGGGGAAGTGGAAAAGTGTCCTGTGGTCCGACGAATCAGCATTTGAAATTCTTTTTGGAAATCATGGACACTGTGTCCTCCGGGCTAAAGACCACTCAGCTTGTTATCAGTGCACAGTTCAAAAGCCAGTATTCATGATGGTATAAGGATGCATTAGTGCACATGGCATGAGTGACGTGCACATCTGTGAAGGCACCATTAATGCTGAACGATATATACATGTTTTGGCTACATATGCTGCCATCCAGACGACGTCTTTATCAGGGAAGGCCTTGTTTATTTCAGCAAGACGAGTCCGGGTGCTAAACTGACCTGCCTGAAGTCCAGACCTGTCACCTCTAAAAAACTTTTGGCACATTATAAAATGAAAAATATGACAAAGGAGACCCTGACGTAGCAGTAAATTATAAATTCTATTATAAATAATAATAGAAATCGTTCTTGTTATGCAGAGTAACATAGTATATAACATCATACTGATAATACTAATAATACTTGGCTAAACAACAACACTAGTTGGGTTGTTTAGCCAAGTATTATTATTTCTATTGTTACTGTTATTAGTTGTAGCAGCAGTGTTGTTAACAATAATATTATTACTATTGTTTTTAATATTATAAGTCAGTTATTATTACTACCAACACTAATACCAACAATAATAAAAATATCTTTAATGTTTTTATTGTATTTTAAAATTATTATTATTATTATTATCAACAACAACATTATCATTAAATAATAATCAAAATCTAAAATGTTCTTGTTACTCCTGCAGTCTGTTACATACTTATGATTTCTTTCAGAAGTGAACTGAATCTGAAACAAACAACACAGAATTAGTTACAAAAATGTTTATTTTTTTTTAACTCTTTACATTTTGATTCAAGAAAGTAAGCACACTTAAAAACTAGTGCATGTATATTACAAATATCAAATTATAATCTTACGCTTACATACAAACCATATAAATATGTAACAAATCAGGTATTGTGTGTTTAAATGCAACAATATATGATTTAAAGTTCTGTAATAAACTCAAAACACAGGACGCGTCTTGCTGACTGACCACAAATAAAGTCCAGAAAGGCTATTCGTTTAGACGGTGGTGCACCGAGCGAGCGCGGAGGTGTGGATGAGCGGAACACCGCTACACACTCGCCATCCACACACACACACACACACACACACACACACACACACACACACACACACACACACACCTCCGCACACACACACACTATCGTACATTCAGCTGACGGATGCATGCACACACACACACAGAGATGGACAGCAAGACTTAACTAGGCAAGACACAGAAGGATGACCTGCACTGACCACTGTGTTTGGATTTGGATATGAAGCATAAAAAGTCAAAGGTCACCTGCTTTTACCTTCCTGAATTTAAAGTCAGCTCACATTTAACAAATAAAACAGATCTAAATGGAGTGAGGTGGGAAAGGAGCGAGACGGGAAAGGAGTGAGACAGAAAGGGAGTGAGATGTGGTAACTAGTCAGTTATTACATTCATAACGAGAGGAGAGAGCCTCCGGTTCTGGAGGGTTCCGTAAATGTGGATTCAGCTGTTTCAGTTCTCTGAGAGCGGCAGGAACCCGAGACCATCATCTCAAAGCTCTGAGACGAGACGAGCCGAGGCAGAAACGACAGACTGACTCACAACAAGACAGTAAAATAAGGCTGTACAGACAGAAATGGGAGAAAAACTCAGTCATTTAGACTTTTTTAGTCTTTTTCAGTCTGAATCAGATTCAGATTGACTGCAGTGACGGCGCTGCTGCACAAACACGACCACAGACTCAGAACAATCAAATCTGATCAGGCTGGACGATCAATCTAAGACAATAAGAAGAGAAAGAAGTGTTTTTGTGGCTTTGTTAAGTATTATTAGCAGCAGTATTGAAAATAATAATAATGGTAATAATTGTTCTTGTTAAGCAACACAGAATATAATAATGATAAAACTAATAATACTTGGCTAACCAACAACAGTGGTTGTTGTTAGCCAGGTATTATTATTACTACTGTTATTTTTATTATTATTATTATTATTATTAGTTGTAGTAGTAGCGGTGTTAATGGTATTATTGCTATTGTTTTAATATTAGTCATTATTATTATTACTATTATTATTATTATAATTATTAACAGCAACAATAACAACAACAACAACAACAACACCACCACTAACAATACTGAACAATAATAATAATAAAGATATAAAAACAGTAATAATAGAATCTGGCCTGTTGAATGATTTCCCCTTTATGTACCAGTACAGTAAATAAATACACTAATACTACTGATAATAAATCATAATATAATGATAATAAATCTAAGCTGAATTTTTAATAGTACCTCTCTTATCTCCCTCTGAGCTCAGACTTCAAAGAAAAGATCTAAGCCATCAGATACGTAAACAAAACAGATCTGAAGTTGTGCGTGAATAGAAGTCCAGCCGTCCTGTTGAAGAGCAGCAGCTCTGCGGTGATGGTCTGAGGTCTCTCAGATCAACTCTTTGGAGAACTCTTAAACTCTCTGTTTCACTTCAGAGAACCGCCCCGGGGTCAGTATCGTCTTTGGCTCGGCTCCAGGCCCTGCCGGCTGTGTTCAGCGGGCCGCGGCGGTCAGCGGGCAGGAGCTGACGGCACCAACATCATTAACATTGCACCATGAGAGAGATTAATATCTGCGTCTAACTCAAACATGTTGGTCAAACCACACGGTTATAATCGCCTCTATCTCCTATTTAAAACCACAGCAGGACAGTCGAGTCTGACTCGTGGTTCACTCGCAGTGAGGCATCTTTTAAAGAAAAACAAACACACGTCAGAAAGTGTCTATTAAGAAATCAAGCTCTTTTTCTTGCCCTCAGAGTTTCACTAAAACGCGGTGTTGGCATTAAGCGCAGGGCAGAAGCGTCGGAGGCTCTGAGTCGCTCTCACTCATAGAGACGCTACAGTAACAGCTACTCCAGCAGCAGCAGCAGCGGGAGGAGTCACGGGGAAATGAGGGGGAAAAAAGAAAAAAAAAAGGGGGTCTGGGCTGTCAGTCAGAGGTTGCCAGGGGTTACCATCACTCAGGCTCCACCCACAGCATGTGTTCTAGAATGAGGCTCTTCAGCGTCCACTCGTTTCTGATCAGACCAAACCGGAGTCTTTGGCCATCTTGTAGAAGATTCCTTTCTTGGCGATGAGACTGGAGGGAGAATCAAACTCTGCCATCTGACCTTTATCTAGAACCAGAACCCTGCAGGGGCACAAAGATGGAAACATGTTGCTTTGTTTGTTTTAATCAAGTTCAGAATTTTTGATGCACAAAAAACAATTTATATTCATAACATAAATATTAAACACACTATGTATTTCAATCTGTGTGGCATTTCTTACAGCTGAATTTATCCACATAAATAATATATTTACCAAATATATAATGGCATCAGATTTGTATACACCGACTGGCCACTTCATTAAACCCACCTCCTTGTTTCTATGCTCATTGTCCATTTTATCAGCTGACCATATAGAAGCACTTTGTAGTTCTACAGTTACAGACTGTAGTCCATCTGTTTCTCTGATACTTTGTTAGCCCCCTTTTACCCTGTTCTTCAGTGGTCAGGACCCCCATGGACCCTCACAGAGCAGGTACTATTTGGGTGGTGGGTCATTCTCAGCACTGCAGTAACACTGACGTGGTGGTGGTGTGTTAGTGTGTGTTGTGCTGGTCTGAGTGGATCAGACACAGCAGTGCTGCTGGAGTTTTTAAACAGCTCAGTGTCACTGCTGGACTGAGAATAGTCCACCAACCAAAAATATCCAGCCAACAGCGTCCTGTGACCACTGATGAAGGACTAGAGGATGACTAACACAAACTGTGCAGCAGCAGATGAGCTATCGTCTCTGACTTTACATCTACAAGGTGGACCAACAAGGTAGGAGTGTCTAATAGAGTGGACAGTGAGTGGACACAGTGTTTAAAAACTCCAGCAGCACTGCTGTGTCTGATCCACTCAGACCAGCACAACACACACTAACACACCACCACCACGTCAGTGTTACTGCAGTGCTGAGAATGACCCACCACCCAAATAGTACCTGCTCTGTGAGGGTCCATGGGGGTCCTGACCACTGAAGAACAGGGTAAAAGGGGGCTAACAAAGTATCAGAGAAACAGATGGACTACAGTCTGTAACTGTAGAACTACAAAGTGCACCTATATAGTAAGTGGAGCTGATAAAATGGACAATGCAATGAAACAGACAGAGAGACAGACAGACATAGATAGATAGATACATAGAGGCATAGATAGATAGATGGATAGATAGACAGACAGATAGAGAAATAGATAAGGGCATATACAGACAGACAGGCAGACAGACAGATAAAGATAAATAAGGCCAAAAGACAAGGAAAACTGGTAGAGCGCTGGGCTGCTGCGTCTGGGCGCACTGCCATATTGGGATTACGGACTGGGATTGGCTTTTATTGGCCACAATCTGATTCTATTCAAATACGCTGGTAAAAAATACTGTTAAAAGCCCACCGAATACACAAATTCACAAAGCTAACTAGAACTACATCCACAGTTATGAAATACAGAATTAATTCTAACAAAATCACTGTGATGCTGGTCAGTGTTACCTGGTGTAGTCCATGATGGTGTTGAGGCGGTGGGCGATGGTCAGAACCGTGCAGTCCTCGAACTGCGTGCGGATGGTGGACTGGATCAGGTTGTCCGTCTCCAGGTCCACAGCTGCCGTCGCTTCGTCCAGAACCAAAATCTTGGTCTTACGGAGTAAAGCTCGAGCCAAGCACACCAGCTGCCTCTGCCCCAGACTGACCACGAACACAGACAAGCAAGAGAAATTACTCAGCGTGGACAGAAAATGATCAAATAAGAGAGAAATAAGAGAAAAAGAGAAATAAGCCTGGGTGATAAGATAATATGATAAATTAAACATTTTTTAAATACTTCTATTATGCGTTTGAAGTATTTTTGAGAAAGTGATTACAGCGATCGGCTATTATCTGCAAAAGCCTGAACTGAAGACACGAGGTGGTTCTGCGTGTCTTTAACCCTCCAGACGTGGAAGGAGAAGAAGTCTAGCCATTCACTTGCAACACAATCAGTGAGCACAGCCAGGAAAGTTTGCCTTTCGTATATTTTCATGTACAGTTCTGTGCAAAAGTCTTTGGCAGGCATGAAACCTGGGCAGTAAGTGTGTTTTAGTAAAAGCAAAACCAAAACCAAAAAAAATGTTTCAGACAAGCTAATATTTTGTTAGAAGAACCTTACATTATTACACATGTACTGTACATTACACCACAATGAGCCTCACTGAGTGTGTTCACACACACTCCATAATCCGATCATTATCGGATTTATGCAGTTATCTGATTATTCAAGTGGTCGTGTAAACAGCACACTGATTTCTTAGATCGGAGTAAGGTCTAGAAATCTGATTCAGAAATCTGATAAAGAGGCTGGATTTTAGCTCAGTAATCAGATTTCTTGTGTATAAACTCTTACTCTGATTTCTTTCAGGTTTCTCAGTCTGAGCATGTGTGAAAACAGACCACGGTACCGGAAATAAGCGAGCACGCAGCAAAACCCTTTTGGAGCGACGCTGAAACCAAATACATGCCTGACGAAATGAAGGATTTAAATATTCTTCATCTTCTAGATGATGTTTGTTCATATTTTCAGGTAATGCTTTTTTCAAAAAAGCCGCAGCACGAAGTTTGAGTTTTACGTTTATGTCTTGTCTTCTTCTGTGAGTTTATTGGCTGGTTGTAAAGCAGAAATCTGATTACTGCCTGACTCATGTAGACCCCATTATCTGATTACCCAATAGCATGTAAACACGATCACCATATTGCTCACTGCAGTTATCAAATTATTAAGAGCATATTATGCATTGAGTGCGTTTACATGCACTGAATAACCCAATCATTCAAGTGGTTGTGTAAACAGCGCACGCCGATTTCTTAGATGGGAGCAGGGTCTAGAAATCCGATAAAGAGGCTGGATTTCAGTAATCTGATCTCTCAGTGTATTTAAACTCTTACTCTGATTTTGGAGCGACGCTGACACCAAATACATGCTTGACGAAATTAAGGATTTAAATATCCTTCATCTTCTAGATGATGTGTGTTCAGATTTTCAGGTAATGCTTTTTTTAAAAAAGCCGCAGCACGAAGTTTGAGTTTTATGTTTATGTCTTGTCTTCTTCTGTGAGTTTATTGGCTGGTTGTAAAGCAGAAATCTGACTCACGTAGATCTGATTACCCAAGTGCACGTGAACGCGTTGTTCAGATTACTGACAAATAATAAAAAACACTGTTCGCGCTAACTGAGCATTAGAAAATGTATTATATAACTGTAAAGGGAACTTTAATTTGGTTTAACAAAGCCAGCTAATAACACTAGAAAGGTTAAAGCTGTTGCAGAACACTGTTGGTCACTGAATCTCTGGGTAGATGCTACTGTAGTGCTACAAGGTTGTTTTTGTATTCCAGGTCGTTGTTAGGGTGTGGCTTGGTGGTTCTTAGTAGTTCTTAGTAGCTGCTAAGTTGTTCCTAGGCCGATAGTATGGTTTGTGCTGCAAACACTATATTAGTACACTAGCCACCACCTAGTGCAGTTGAAGTGGTTAAAATACAAAAACACAACAAGCAACCTAATCTGGTGCAAAATTTCATAGATCTTGCTCAAAAGCTGTAGGAGGAGTAGCAGAGCAAATCCACACATTAGTAATAAGAGGGAAAAAAAAAAAGAACCGCAAGTAATTATTAATTAATTATCACCTAATTATCAATATTTCTCAACAGTGAACGATACTGAAGTACACACGGTGGTAGGATTATTGAGCAGCCCTAGGAGAAAATACTCTTGTCGGTACCTGAGGTTCTCTCCTCCCTCTGAACACTCGTGGTTCAGCTTGTCCGGCAGGCCGGACACAAAGTTTTTGAGATGTGCGAGTTCCAGAGCTCTCCACACTTCCTCATCAGAGTAAAGATCGAAGGGATCCAGGTTCATCCGCAGAGAACCAGAGAACAGCACTGGGTCCTACAGCAGGACAGCAGAGGGACAAACACAGTGGACAGATGTTGCACTAGACTGATGAAGACATTTTCACTGCAGTTTGAGACAAATAACAGCTTTCTGACTGTGTGAACTTACAATAACAGCTGAGTTAACAATAACCTCACACTCAAAGGGCTGGGATTAGGCAGGGATTAGGTCTAGTCTTGGACTAAATCAGTGTTTATGTTGAATCTCCACTGGAGATTTAGTCTTGTATTAGGCTTAATCTGGGTCTGGGAAACTGACCCTAAGGGTTTATGCGTGGGCTCACACCACAGCCGCTCACTCTTATAATTACCGAACTCAGCCATTAGATTTATAGTAGATACTGAATAATTCATATTAGACACTAAATAAATCACAGTAGATACTGAATAATTCATAGTAGATACTGAATAAATCATAGTAGATACTGAATAATTCATATTAGACACTAAATAAATCATAGCAGTTACTGAATAATTCATAGTAGATACTGAATAATTCATAGTAGATACTGAATAATTCATATTAGACACTAAATAAATCATAGCAGTTACTGAATAATTCATAGCAGATACTGAATAATTCATAGTAGATACTGAATAATTCATATTAGACACTAAATAAATCATAGCAGTTACTGAATAATTCATAGCAGATACTGAATAATTCATAGTAGCTGCTGAATAATTCATAGTAGATACTGAATAATAATTCATTTTAGATACTAAATAATTCATAGCAGTTACTGAATAATTCATAGTAGCTACTGAATAATTCATAGTAGATACTGAATAATAATTCATTTTAGATACTAAATAATTCATAGCAGTTACTGAATAATTCATAGGAATTCCTGAACATTAAGGCTTCAGACAGAGAACAGAATAATAAGCCTGAATTTCATGGAGATCTATTAAAATGTGTTTTTATATTTCTCAGTCAAAAAAAAAACAACACTGAATAAAAGCAAAGAACTGATTTTGTTCAGTTTAAAAACTAACAGAGAATAGTCTTGAATATGAATGAATGAGTTTTGAATATGAATGAACAGCTCTGGAGAGCGCAGGTGTGAGTGATGTGTGAGTGAAGCAGGTGTTCGGTACCTGTGGAATGATGGTGATGCGTGAGCGGAGTTCATGCAGGCCCATATCAGCAATGTTCACCCCGTCGATGCAGATCTCCCCCTGCGATGCCTCGATGATACGGAACAGGCCGAGTGTCAGAGACGACTTTCCCGCTCCGGTTCTACCCACAATTCCCACCTTAAATACACACACAGACACACATCAGACAATCTTAGTGCCAAATATGAAAAATGTCTGGAACCAAAAATAAAATCCACCTTGAAACTCAAACAAGGCACAGCTAAACTGCTTGAGCTGCTATTTTATATATATATATATATATATATATATATATATATATATATATATATATATATATATATATATATATATATACACACATACACACACCGTGATGTACAGCAACTGTACAGTATTTAATATACATATGTTGTGTATTTTCTTAATTTATATATATTTGTGCTTCATTTTAGTACTTCTGTAGTGTCTGTATACTAACTCGTAGTACAGACTAAGCTTATTTTACTGTGCGGTGTAACTGTTTCTCTGCGCACACAACAATAAATTCTTCTATATTGTAATAATCCTATGAATATGCTATAATATACATAACAACTGTATACACCACACCATACCCTAAATAAGCCTCTCCCACTTTCCTCTACTGTAGTCAATGCACATATGCACTTTAAGTTGCAATATACATAATAATTATGTTTACAGTTACATTTGGTAAAGGAGATCGTTTGTCGACGTCTATCTATCGATGTCTATCTGTCCATCTATCCGTCTGTCGATGTATTTTGACCATATATCCCCAATCCTGTCGTCGTTACACTTCTCTTAACGTATAAATCATTAAATGGCCCCATGGTATCTTAGTGAATTAATTCAGTCATATGAACCCACACAAAATACCGGCCTGACGGTTCTAGAATTAGAAAAACCACAGCAGGTGGTCGAGCATTTTCCTACGTAGCCTCAAAACTGTGGAATCATCTCCTGACCTCTGTTCGGGACTCAGACACCCTCTCTACAGTTAAAACTAGACTCAAAACTCTTCTGTTTGCACGAGCGTTCTGCTAATATCAGTGGTTGCACTATTAACTCACTAATATCTCTCCATAAACGGACCTGTCCTGTTAATATCTCTCTCTCTCTCTCTCTCTATTTGAGCCTCTGAGTGACGTCTGCCTGAGTCGCCACATGGGAGCCACCAGAGCTGCTGGAGTCACCAGAGCTCCATCTCTGTTGGCTGATCTGCACCGGCTTGACCACCATGGAGTTTCATGTTGTACAACGCTGTGCAAACCTCACCCTCATGAACTGACCCTCCTGCTGCTGCTGCTTAAACTCAATCTGTCTAATTAACCGCTGCTCCACCTGTTTTCCCCGTTTTGTATTCTAATATTTTATACTAAAGCTGTTTGCTATCTGGTGTCGACCACAGGAGGATGTCTGGTTCCTCTCAAGGTTTCTCCTTCTTGCTCTTAGGGAGATTTTTCCTGCCACTGTTGCCATTGGCGACGCTCATGGGGGCTCGGACCTGGATTTTTCTGTGAAGCTGCTTTGTGACAACACCTGTTGTAAAAAGCACTATATGAATAAACTTTGACTTGACTATTTTTATCTATCCATCCGTCTACCTGTCTATCCATCCATCTATCCATCTATGTATCTATCTGTCTGTTGACATATATCTATCTATCCGTCTATCTGTCTGTCCGTCTGTCTCTGCTGCTCAATTCTTTTAGCAGTACATACTGGATATATGTACTTCAGTACTTCAGTACTTTATTGTATCTGTACTTCTCTCCCACTGCAGATTCTTTATATTACTTGCATGTTGTTTTTGAACTGTCTACTTTATGTCTATATATGGTATATCTTTTTTATTTATTCTACTGAATTTTAAAAACCTGCACTAATAGGAATTTTTCATACGTCTGGTACGGCGAATATAAATTCTGATTCTCTTGAATCATATTAGTGTTTGAACAGTAACATGCGCCAAAATGAAAGTTAAACTTTGAAGTAACGCATCGTAACGCATGGCTTGTCTTTAAGTCTGATGCATATTAGGCATTTATATATTCGAACGAAAATTTTCATGGTATTTTTCTGCGGACAAGTGAGTTAAAAATGTAATAAATCTTTTTCATTTTGGCACTTATTCCACACGTCACTGTGGAAAGTGAAATCGTGTGCACGGCGTTTGTTCCACTGTAGTGTCTGCGTTTGAATTTGGTGTGAATTCTTCTCTATGATAAGTCAGTCAGGCCCAAACAGCGGCGGCTCCTCCCACCTTCTCTCCTCCCTGGATGTTGACGGTGATGTCATGGATGGCGAGCTCCAGGTCCTCTCGGTACCGCAGGCCGAATTCATGGATCTCGATGTGTCCAGCAGTGGGCCAGCCGGCAGGAACAGAGGTCTGCTCCAGCTTCCATTCAGCCTGAGGAAAATACAGCCCTGCTGATCAGACACCAATTTAACAGGAGACAAGTCAGCAGCTCTCCTTCTGGACATCTACCTTCCTATAGAGCTCAGCTCCAACCTGCATCACCACCTTACCTGACTCTAATGTATCTGATCCAGCCAATTAAGGACTTCTGATGAGGTGTGGCAGACTGGTTTGAACTACAGTCCACAGGAAGCTGGATCTCCACTACTAAGGCCGGTAACCACTGTTCTGCATGAATACTGTAAAAGTTTTCAAGCTAATCTTTATGTACTGTATCTGTAACAGTTGCCCAAAGGCTTCTGTTATAAATGTTTCATGTCAGAAGTCCACTAGTATGTCCTGTGTCCATTGTGCTGTCTGTTATATAACACCCAGATCTTCAAACTGTCCACTAAACCTGCCAAAGCCTCTTAACCACCACACTGGACAAAGCCTGCTTGAGGTCACCGATCCTATGGTGTCAGTTCAGCGCCCAGCAGTGTAAGCAAGTCATATTTTGCCTCCTTAAAGAAGAAATTCCATATAAACTCAGAAGACTCGTGTAGGTTCACTGGTGGTTCTGGACAGTAAATAAAATGTCTATATCTGTGTTGTAGTCATGGCGACCCCTGGTTCCTATCACCACCACTGTAAAGACATCTGAACCATTTCACACCAAACCACTCTGAATCTCTCTGTTTACATCTCACACACTGAATCATGCAGAACTCTTAAAACTCCCCAATAACAATCCATAACGAGAGGATCTGATGACATTCGGAGGGAAATTATACATACAGCGAAATGTATCAGCTTATTTTACCCCACCGAGAGCAACTGCTTAGATCAGGGGTGTCAAACTCACCCACTACACGGGCCATATTAGAAAATCTCCGTGGGCCAGCTGTGTTTTTAGTTTTACTTAACATTTTGTCATGACCCCAACTGGCCACTGTACGTTCAAAATATGTCAAAACTACAACAGTAAAAAATAGGCTAAATACTTCAACGATTCAAAAATATTTTTAAATATAAACAAATAATTTTATATAAAACAACAGACCACATTGGCTGCAGATCAACCTCTTTAAATGTCTTCAATGCACAGAAGGATTTTTAAAACTGCCCATTCGCTTGAACTGGACACCTGGCATCCTTTTTTGTGTGTTTTTGTGGTGCTGTCCCAAAGATCGTTGTTGGGGAGGGGTTAGAAGCACAAATGTTGCAGTGCATGCTGGGAACTGTAGTGCAGTTCATGGTGAAATGGGCTAATATTAATAGAAATTAAAACAATTTCGCGGGCCAAACAGGACTGACCCCGAGTTCCTTATTTAGGAATGTCGCCTCCTACAAAATGACTGTGTCCTCACTGGTGACAGTGAAGAAAACTACAGCACAATGACTTTCTTCATTCAATAACACAGATCAAGCATTTGCTCAGAAACACATCCATCCATCCATCCATCCATCATCTAAACTGCTTATCCTTCTGGGTCGCGGTGGGGTGCTGGATACACCCTGGACAGGTCGACAGACAGACATACACATTCACACACACACTCCCACTCACACCTAGGGGCAATTTAGCACGTCCAATTGGCCTGACTGCATGTTTTCGGACTGTGGGAGGAAACCGGAGTAGCTCAGAAACACATTACATATATTAAAAACATATTAAAAATTAAACAGTACATCACACTCAATCTGCAATGGTCACAAACATTAGGATTAAGAACAACACAAGAGGAAACAAGCTCTTATTAAAGACTTGAGTCATGCCCACAGCACACGCAACCGTCCTGCTGTGATTTGGAACAAGCTGTCCCTAATCATGAACAGCACTCGCAGCACACACACGCTCAAAGCCCTCAGCAATTTAAAAAATTCCCCAGTGAAACTTATTTTTCAAGATGCAAAAGAAATACACTGATCAGGCATAACATTATAACATAACATTATAAGTTAGTGTGTGTTGCGCTGGTCTGAGTGGATCAGACACAGCAGTGTTGCTGGAGTTTTTAAACACTGTGTCCACAGCACTGCTGTATCTGATCCACTCGTACCAGCACAACACACCCTAACACACCACCACCACGTCAGTGTTACTGCAGTGCTGAGAATGATTCACCACCCAAATAGTACCTGCTCTGTGAGGGTCCGCGGGGGTCCTGACCACTGAAGAACAGGGTACCTATATAGTAAGTGGAGCTGATATAATGGACAATGAGCATAGAAACAAGGAGGTGGTCATGATGTTATGCCTGACTGGTGTAAGTAGACTGTCATAGCAGAAAATGCCAAGTCATTTATGCCCACAAGAGGGCGCTCAGCTTATACACACAACAAAGTATCACTACTTCTCCTCTGACACCATAAACCTCCCACACTGTCTGAGAGCACAGCAGCTGGGAAACAGATGGATAAAGTTTTAGGATGCAACTTCACCACCGTCAACACTTCGACCTCAGTCGTAATCCGTGTTTAAATACTTAACGCGCTCAAAAATGTGTTTTTCAAATGATTGACTCATCTTATTATGATTATATAGTCTGATATTCGTATCAAATGTGCTACTAAAGCGCAGCGTTCATATTCTTCCATTGTAAACACAGGCCTTCTCAGTACACCTGAAAAAACCTCGCATCTCCAAAATGGTAACTTTACAGGAGAAGGAAAAACATACTTAATGTAAGTCAATGGAACCAGACTTTCTGGGCCGTTTGTTTTGGTCCATTAGTCATGAAGTTCACACACGATGTAAACAGTAACAGGCATTTTCAAATTATGTCAAAAACTGAAAAACAACAAAAATGGAGATACGAGGGTTTTTTTCCTGACAGTAGCGATATGCTAATGAGAGGATTATGATGTGGGGACAGAAAACTTGCTTACAGCTACAGAACGCAAATTAACTTAAAATTAAAAAATGACAACACTGTCAAACGGATATTCCTCCTCAATCTAATCTAGCCTTTCTAGCACCAGGCAGAGTTTTTTGTGTGTGGAGTTTAAATCAATTTGAATTTATAACTAAGGCTAAATTCACACAGCAGGTAAAAGTGGCCCAAATCTGATTTTCTCAGCCAATATGATTTTTTGTTCACATTATCTTTTAAATGTGAACTGTATCATCAGTCTGAACAGATCAGCTCCTAAACTGACCCACATGCACTAAAGAACAGAGCGTCACGCTGCTTCACGGCTCATCCAGAGGGAAACAATCACGACCGCCAACGAACGCCAGTCACTCCCGGAGGATCAGCTTCATCTTCACCAGCATCACAGGAGCCATCATGAAGCTTCACTGACTGACAGCTGGGCTCATCACCCAGAATGTGTTCAGCTCGCCGTAAAAAGGGCGCGGTCACTTCTTTGGCTCCTCGGATTCTTTAAACTTTTTTTGACGCCTTAACCTCGGTCTCCTTCGGCCGCGATCGGCAGTTTCATTGAAAACCTCTTTGAACGTTTCTTCTAATTTTTGTACAGAAATATCAGCCTAAATGTTTCTGAGTCTCAGCAGTGTGAAATTATGACGAATGTGGAGCTGGATTGACGTAAAAGTGGCATGAATTCCAATCTGGCTGTTCAGACAGAGTCGCACTGCTGAATATCGGACACAAATCGGATTTCAGTTTCACATATGAAAGCGTCTCAAATCGGAATTGAAAATGTCAGATTCAGTGTGTTTATCTGTTCACACAGACTCACATCTGAATCACATATGAGGAAAAAGATCAGATTTGGGCCACTTTTACCTGCTGTGTGAACGTAGCCTTTGTAGCACCAAAGGCTAACGTTAGCTTAGCAAGAAGGTTAAACCACCATGAATTCTGACTCACTGACAAGTTTAGAGGACAAAGACTCGAATCTGAGTGAGGGAAGCTCAGTGACAAAGATAGAACCTTTCTGATTATTACAGTTAGAGTGTAGGCGCTGTTTCCGCTCCTCATCTGGATTGTAGAGCCTGTTTACACCTCGCATTGACATACTTTACATCCAGATTGTGTCCGGATGAACTTTGGGCGGATTCCATTTACTCTTTTCACTAAAACGAGTCCCCAGTGTGACCAGATGAAACTGTTCCTGTGTAAAAAGCATATCAACACATCTGTTTCCATTTCTCTTGTGTTTTCTCTTTTCCTTGTTACGACAGAAGAGGACAGAATTTGGCCTGGACGTTTTCATCAGAAGGCTCTTTGTTTGGGAACTCCAGCTTCAAGAATCACCTATATTTTTATAGTCTAAAAATCTGATCTCTCAGCAGGTAGTCAGCACCCAGCAGACGCATTTCCGCTCACATAACTGTACATAACGAAAACCCATGTTTACATTTGAGTTAAACGCAGTCAAAATGCCTGTCTGATCACCACCGTAGTCAGTGCATCCTGAAGGTGTTCACACCTGGCCTGCCATGCGGTCAAGTGAAATCCAAACATGATCCGATCTCCAAAAACGCATACGGATGTAAGGTGTAAACCGCCCACAGAGACAGCGTGTAGAGTACAGGGTGAAGGGGCGGGGAGTTCACGATTTGCATCATGCATATTCATATATGCTAATCCCTTGTGAGTGTTGACGATTACAGAGTTTTTTGGGCATAAAAATAATACAGAAAAACAATATCAACCTTCATTTTCTGTCTTTTAAATGTCGACTTTAGGGGTGCTTCAAAACGTTTTTTGTCAAATTTCGATTTCTATTTTCGGTTCTCTGCTCTACTTACCTCTTTCTCAGTGTCTCCATACTCCTTCACTTTCTCCACCGCCACAATGTTGGTCTCCAGCTCAGAGGACATCCGCACCAGCCAGTTCAGAGACGCGGTCACCTGCGAGAAGAGACGGAGACGAGAGTCAGAGCGCGTTAGAAGCCCAGTAAAAACCTAGGAACCGGACAGCTCTGGTTTATGTTATCTTCCATGTTAGCTTTGGTCTGATTTACCCTTTAGAAGTCACAGTAATTGAGTAGTAATAAAACAAAGCTGTCATTTTATATGAATTATTTCTGATCACTGAAACAGTGGAGAAACTGTGCGGATAGAGCAGAATCTGTCAATCGATACCACATCTGTAAGCAGAAGAGCAGATATTTTAGATATTGTTGTGGGGCAGTCGTGGGCTGGAGGTTAGGGAACCAGCCTTGTGACCGTAACGTCGCCAGCTCGATCCCCTGAGCCGACAGTACATGACTGAAGTGCACTTGTGCAAGGCACCTAACCCCCCAGCTGCTCCCTGGGTGCTGTGGATAGGGCTACCCGCCACTCCGGGCAAGCATGCTCACTGCTCCCTAGTGTGTGTGTGGTGTTTCACTGCACGGATGGGTTAAATGCAGAGGTGGAATTTTCCCCGTTGTGGGACTAATAACGGTCACTAAATCTAATCTTAATCATTTAAATTTGATGAAAAGTTACTGTTGGGTTTGTGTGATCAGAAACAAAAACATCCTTTATGTATTTTCTTCTTCTCCGGTTACAGTATGACTGATGTATGTGTGCTGTATACGGTAGGTGTAGGACCTGCAGGGCGTAGGAGATGGACAGTCCCATAAGGCCTGGACTCAGACTGTCTCTGGCCATCACAGCAAACAGTGCAGCGAACGTCACGATACAGTTTCCCACAAACTCCAAACGCACAGCCAACCACCTGCACACACAAACACATTAGAATATAGTGACCTCTATCAGTGATCATAATCCACACGGCTCCGCTTCTATCAGTGACCATTCATGACCGCAGAAAAGGGCCTTAAACCCTTTATGTTTCCCTTATGTATTATTTATTATCCTTTATGTTTGAATATTGTGTAAAATGTAAACATTAAGGCCGTAACAACTTATAAAACGTATAAATTGATACAGCACGATACAGCAGTGTCTCAACTTCAGTTTTTTTGGTACAGCAAAAATAAGAAGCTAAAAAAAAATGCCCTTATGTCAGTATGCTGAGGTTTTCAGCTTATTAAAGCATTTAACGTTACAAAATATACAGAAAAAAGCTGTAAAAGCTGTGAAAACATATATATATATATATATATATATATATGCGCAAGTTATGATACATCGATACAAGTCAATGCAATACAATACAAAAGGATATGCTGCGATGCAATTTGATACGACACGCTGCACTGTTACATCCCCTGTTTACATATAATGTTGCACGCTTAGAAAACATGGTTCTGCAAGGGTTCTTTAGTAAAGGGAATGGTTCTATTTCATGCTTAAATGGTTCTTCGCAGGGTGAAATGGTTCCTGATTGATGGAAAATGTGTTGTATATGGTTCTATATACCACCTTTTTGAAAATGGTTTGCTATTGTTACAACGTCAATCTCGCAACACTAGAAGAACCTTCTTGGCACTGTATAGAACCATTTTCAAAAAGGTGAACCCTTGAAGATCTCGTAAGTGTGTATATTTCATCAATGTTAGCGTTTTGATCTTTATCTCTTGAGTTGTCCTTTTATTACTTGGCTCTTTAATTTTAATTTCATTTCAGGTTTTTTTTGCTATACGCTGTTGCATTAAAGGGCTCATATCTGACTTTCTCGTACGACCTTGTTCTCCTGAAGTCACACTTACATGATTTTTGTGGGTTTTATGTACTGAAAACGGCCCTTATTCATTTTATAAGAGTATTTCCAGCCTCACTTTATTCCGTAGAATTAAACAGGCTGTTTTTGTTACTGTGCCTTTAAGACTCCTTACAAAACCTTGTATCTCCATTTTTGTCGTTTTTCAGTTTTTGTCATAATCTGAAAACGCCTGTTTGCCTTTACATTTTGTGTAAACTTCATGATGAACAGACCAACAGAACTGGCCTAAAATGACTTGGTAAAAAGTCTGGTTCCATTGACTTACATTAAAAGTAAAGTAGGTTTTTTCCTCCTCCTGTAAAGTTACCATTTTGGAGATACGAGGTTCTGTTCCAACAGCAGCAATATGCAAATCATATCTGTTCTGATTGGCTGCGCTGTAATGTGCGTTATTCAAAAAAATCAGTCTGGGGTGAAACACCCCTTATAACTTCAGCATGAATAGGCGGAGCTAAACTGCTGTAGGCTGAATAGGTGAATAAATGCAAATGCACTGAATTGTGTGTAATCACAAAACCAATGGATTCAAAATGGGCCATTTAGGCCACTCAGTTTTGAGAGTGAATGGTATGTTTTGAGACTTGTAACAAAGTTTACATGGTTTATCAAAAGCTTTTATTTTATTTATTTTCCTTTTAAAGTACAGACACTTTGGTTTTCCATGATATGGCCCCTTCAATGCTGTTGTACTGTTTTAACTACGCACATCATGAAGCACTCATTGCTGCGTTTTTAAGTATGTTTTTCAATGAAGACACATTTTTGCCTAGTTTCGTTGACCTCAGACAGTGTTAATAAGTAGTGTAGAGTGTATCCTCAGACCTGTTGGCGACGATGCTGGGGTAATAGGCCTTCTGGTTGTGGTCCACTCTAGAGTCACTCTCTCCGATGAAGCGGCGCTGCTCCCCGAACGCACGGATAACGCTGGTGCCCAGCAGCGTCTCATTAAAGTGTGTGTAAACCGGAGAGCGGCTCACGGACTCCAGACGCTTCAGCTGCCGCGACGACGCCACGTAGAAACGCTGCAACACACACAATATGATGTTAGCAAGCTGAGAAAAACGGTCTAAGTAAGTCATTCAAAGGATTTATTATGAGGTATTTTTCGACTGATATTGATACCAATTTTAAGTCAAACCAACAACACTGGCACAAGATAAGTCAGAATGCATTTCAGATCAATAAGCACTTATTGATTTGTTATTATCAATTAATTTAATCAACATAAAATGCATTCAAAATGTGTGAGACATAAATAAATGAAAAGTCTATGAATTCTCAGCTTTGTTAGATGATGTTTAAAATTTCTACATAATTAAGTGGGCAAGATGGAAACTGAGTCATTCAGAGTGGTTTGGTGTGAAACGCTCTGTTCTAGAGAAACTGACCGAGTCAGAACTGTTCACAGTGGTGGTGATAGGAACCAGACGTCCACCTCTAAAAGCTCCCTCACAGAAAGTTACTACATGAGATGGTTATGAATTCACTGCCTGATGACTGAGACACTGTTTTATGACAGTTCTGAGAAGATTTTGGCCTTAAAATCCTTTCATGGTGAAGGGATACATAACATGCAGGGTGCTGTGAGGCAAAATAGTCCCCAAAGAAAACTTATTATTTCAGATTTTCCACTATTTTCCATCATCAACATTCCATATACACTCAGAAGACTCGTGTAGGTTCACTGGTGGTTCTGGATAGTAAATAAAATGTCTGTATGTGTGTTGTAGTCATGGCGACCCCTGGTTCCTATCACCACCACTGTAAAGACATCTGAACCATTTCACACCAAACCTCTCTGAATCTCTCTGTTTACATCTCACACACTGAATTATGCATAATTTTCTAAAAAAATGGTGGAGTTCTCCTTTAAGTACCTGGAACTGAGTTATATAACTAGTTTCTGAACAGCATCTCAGATGCAGTGATGACTTAGCAGGACCTGCAGCAAGTTTTTTTTTTTAAAACACCTGAATTACGTAGGAATCTCTGAAAAACTGGTGTAATTGCCCTTTACAAATACAAAACAGATGCATCCAGGGTGGACAACAGTGTTGCTGTAACAGTCTTCTTCCTTGTGTGCTTTGGGAAACATACATTGTTTCGATACACGAAGCCAAGTTTTTGCCGAAGTTTACACGAGAACAATTAATACTAATATTTAATATGGTGTTAATATGGTGTTTCAAAGTGCATCGTCTTGCCATATGCCAAGTTATTTGTACTCACTGATTCTTTCAATGTCAGATTATAAAATCAGGGCTGTGATTTTATAAGTGCTACAATCAATATTAGAAGCTCTGGAAAACAGCATAAATTTAGTTTTCTCAACATTTAAGACTAGTTTATGATTGTAAAAAGCTGATTGTAAGGCAGTGAAAGAAAGGTTTTTCCACTGCAGCGCCAACATAGTCAGTCGAGCAGCACAAAACGGTGTCATCGGCATGTAAATGTACCTTACAATCAACAACTGAGGAGGAAACGTCATTAATATAAATATTAAATCATACTGGTCTGAGGACCGAACCTTGAGGGACTCCCTTAGTTACCAGTAGTAGCTCTGATTTACTTTGTCCCAGGGCCACACATTGCTGTCTACTGGACAGATAATTTCTAAACCAGTTGGTAGCCATGCGGTCAAAACCAATATTTAGTTGGACAAGACTGAATTTCTATGGAGAAATCTCCACCCGACAGCCACGTGTCCCACAATCACACGATGCTACAAGCTTCACGCTGACCGACCTGCACAAAGAAGTAGAACAGCCCCAGAGGAGGGATGATGATGGCCACCAGTGGAGTGGCGATGAGGATGACCGCACAGGAGCCCAGAACGTTAAACATGGAGCCCATAAACATCTTAATGATGTTCGGAATAACTGAGTCGATGGTGTCCATTTCTTTAGCGAAGCGGTTGACCAGGTTACCGCTAGGCGTCCGCTCGAAGAAGGACATGGGTGACCGCAGGACGTTATAGAGCATCGTCTCGTGCAGATAGCGCGAGGCCAGGATTCCACCGATGGAGACGGAGATGGAGTAGCAGAAGACGGCAACGCCTGAGAGAAACGGACAGAACAGAGTAAACAACAGGAACAAATAAACAGAAAAGCTACTGTACAGTAGAATCCTAGAAACATCAGGCATACTTTGGTAGCCCCCTTTTACCCTGTTCTTCAGTGGTCAGGACCCCCATGGACCCTCACAGAGCAGGTACTATTTGGGTGGTGGATCATTCTCAGCACTGCAGTAACACTGACGTGGTGGTGGTGTGTTAGTGTGTGTTGTGCTGGTACGAGTGGATCAGACAGCAGTGCTGCTGAAGTTTTTAAACACTGTGTCCACTCACTGTCCACTCTATTAGACACTCCTACCTTGTCAGTCCACCTTGTAGATGTAAAGTCAGAGACGATAGCTCATCTGCTGCTGCACAGTCTGTGTTGGTCATCCTCTAGTCCTTCATCAGTGGTCACAGGACGCTGCCCACAGGACACTGTTGGCTGGATATTTTTGGTTGGTGGACTATTCTCAGTCCAGCAGTGACACTGAGGTGTTTAAAAACTCCAGCAGCACTGCTGTGTCTGATCCACTCAGACCAGCACAACAATGCCAACATTGTTGGCCAAAACATTTGCGACAGGAGAACGTTTACCACTGTGTTACATCACCTTTCCTTTTAACAGCACCTAAAGGGCAGCTCCACCGAGTTAAGAAATTCTGAATAATTAAATGACTCAGATGTAAACAGGGCAGTTCAGACTGGTTTGGTGTGAAACGCTCCGTTCTAGAGAAACTGACCGAGTCAGATTCGTCCACAGTGGTGGTTGATATTATTCATTTATATTTTTTAGCCTATACTAGTCTATTAGCACATACTGAGACATGTTTACAGCCCGGATGGTAAAATGTTACTTTAATTAAATCAACATAAACGTTGTGGCTCCCAAAGTGGTTTGATTTTTGTTCAAAGGAACATTTAGGTTGTGACTCCTAGTCTACGTTTTAGCTTTAAGGCCTAAAATTTCTATTAAAAGATATTTATTGTGACCTTGTGAGAGGCCCAAAGCTCCGTAAACTCCGAGTCGCATCTGTCTGGAGGGCTGAGTGCCGTTAATGACCGGGTCGTCCGTCCACAAGCTGAGCCAGTAATTTGAACCCAGTGACGCCACATGGTGAGAGAAGAAGAGGATGATGCTGATGAAGGACAGGAACAAGCCGATGGCCTTCATGTACTCCCAGAACACTGAAAATTTGACCTACAAGACACACAAACAAATCCTTTTTCTAAACACAGACATGCTAAAAAAACGACTAACGTTACACCAAATTCATAATCTTATGCCACATTCATAATCTTTACAGATTACAGTATCTTGGTTACACACATTATTTTTACAGTTGTTACAAGCAAAGCACACATTCTCTGATGATTTAATGTACATTAATATAACAACTATAACAACTAATATAACTGTCAATTTCTCATGAAATCACAGCTGATTTTTCATAATCAAATAAAACACATTTAAAAAAAATCTTAACAAAAATTAATTATCAAATTAAATAAACACCATAATCACGGCACAACGCACAATATACCATGAACTCATTTCTTTTTGTTTTATATTTTGTTCAAATAGATTGGCTGAAAATTTAACATTGATACGTACTTTAAGATACTGTATATAAATGACGTTGCACCTCAGTTTTCCTGCCCAACTCCACGATCCACTGTCCTCACGCAACCTTTTAATCGGTTCTGCAACCTCTAACTCAGTTTCTGACCACGAGACTATCAGCTGTCCTAAATTAGCTGCTCAGGCTTTTCACAGCATTATATTTTTTAAAATCTAGTTTCGTGTACAGAGCAGCTGGAGTTTTCTCATGGTGTAAAATAGAAATCAAATTAAAAACAGTAAACGCAGTGGTTTTGATGTGACAGTGCTGTGGCGTATTGTGGTTACTGGGGAACTCTTACCCTGCCTGTGTTGGCTTTGTCTGCCTCGGTCAGTTTGGCAGCGTCTGCAGACTTGGTCTTCTTGATGGTGTCGTTACTCTCAGTTTTCTGTGGGGGCTTCGCTGTTCCAGATGTGTTTAAGGAGCTCTGGCTCTGTCTACAACACAAACACAAACACGTCATTATTGGCACCGATTGGTAATATTAGGCAACAGATCACCTTCACTAAGCAGCTTTTCTTGCTTATCTAGTTTACTTTAAGCTTAGTTTGATTTCTCTCACGACAGTGAATCACTTCTAATTGAGCTACATCACCATGGCAACTAATGCAATGCAACCACGCCAGAGATTGTGACCAAGCAGGGAAAGCTTATATTTAAACTGCCCAAATAGGGCTGAGATTCTGGCCTATCGGGGAAGAGATGCTATTTAAACGGGCTGAGCCTCTTCCCAATCAGGGCTGAGCTTCTGACCAATTACTGTTTATTAATAAGTTCCTGACCAATAGGGGAGGAGTTCCTGACCAATCAGGGACAAGACTGTATTCAGACTAGCTAAGCTTCTGCCCAATCGGGGCCCAGCTTCAGATCAATCGGGGACAAGTTCCTGACCAAATAGGGGAGGAATTCCTGACCAATCAGGGACAAGATTCCATCCAATCAGGGCCCAGCTTCAGACCAATCAGGGCCGAGTTCTTGACCAAATAGGGGAGGAATTCCTGAACAATCAGGGCCGAGTTCCTGACCAAATATGAGAGGAATTCCTGCCCAATCAGGTGCGAGATACTGCCCAATTAGGGGCGAGCTTCAGAACAATTAGGGACATTCCTGACCAAATGGGGGAGGAATTCCTGACCAATCAGGGACAAAATTCCGCCCAATCAGGGCCCAGTTTCAGACCAATCAGGGCAGAGTTCCTGACCAAATAAGGGAGGAATTTCTGACCAATCAGGGACAATATTCTGCCCAATCAGGGCCAAGTTTTACACAAAATCATGACAAACAAAACAGCTTTTCATTCTGTTTTTTTTTTAAGTTTAGTTTGTTTTCCCTTGCAGTTAGAGCTGAGCTTTAGGACCGGAGCTGTGAATTCTGCAACAGTGACTCACCTCAGCAGAGCCGCTGGTCCTCCGTTCTCCAGAGTTTTCCGTGGCACCGCATCTGCACCAAAGATTCAACATGGTCATCAATCACAAAGAAAAACCACGCTGGTCATTCCACAACCCTACAAGGCACTAAGTGAACTAGTAAGCAACATCCTCACTGACTGTGCCCACTAGCACTGCTACACCAAGCTGCAAACTCTGTTTCATTTATCAGACAGCTGTTTCCTTATAATGCATTCATCAGATCTCATGACCAAAATCAAGCCAGTCCATGGAACGGCTCCACCCAAGACCAAGCACAGACTGCATTTGACCACATACAGATGGAAACAATACAAACCCTTATTTGTTGCAGAACAGCATCTTAACAAGTTAAGCAGAGCAAATCAAGCGTAACTGTGTGTTTGAATCAGACATGAGTGGTTTTACATACCAAAACAGTCGCAATTCATTTTTACATTAACATGTTCAACTTAAACAAGACAGAAATTCAGTTATTTTGTGTTTCCTCAAAACCCGACTGCGAAGTCTGTCACGCTGATGACGTCACTACCACACATCCTACAAGGCAGCAGAACTGTACTTTATTTTTTCTGTGTTTCATAACTGTATGACTCAGCAAAATCTTCTGCTGTTATACTGTATTCATATTTGTTTGGGAGCAAAACGTTGTACAAGTGTTCCAGTATTAATCCATTATCTAATTTCCTCAGGCGAAATGAATGGATTCGCTTTCCCTCCCCGTCTGTAAATTATTTGATTGGCTGTCCTGTATTGGGCCTCATTCCAAAAGCCGCCAGGACCAAATGTGCACCAAACTGTTAAGTCAGGACTGAAATCCTCAGGGTGTTAAAATAAACTCCTTTAGGATGTGTGGAGCCTTTGGAAGCTGCAGTGATCCATTTGCTTAAAGAGAGCCGGGAACAACACTCCTCAGGCTGAGTGGGTGGGGCTAAACTGCCGTAAGCTGAGCAGGTGGAGCTAAACTGCTGTTGACTGAGTGGGTGGGGCTAAAGTGCTGCACGCTGAGTGGGCTGAATTGCTGTAGGCCTAGTGGGTGGGGTTACACTGCTGTAGACTGAGTGGGTGGGGCTAAAGTGCTGCGCGCTGAGTGAGTGGGCTGAACTGCTGTAGGCCTAGTGGGTGGGATTACACTGCTGTAGACTGAATGGGTGGGGCTAAACTGCTGCAGGCTGAGCGGGTGGGGCTAAACTGCTGCAGGCTGAGCGGGTGGGGCTAAACTGCTGCAGGCTGAGCAGGTGGGGCTAAACTGCTGCAGGCTGAGCAGGTGGGGCTAAACTGCTGCAGGCTGAGCAGGTGGGGCTAAACTGCTGTAGTCTGAGTGAATGGGGTTGAACATCAGGGGCAAAATGGGTGGGGCTAAACAGCTGCAGGCTCAGTGGGTGGGGCTAAACTGCTGCAAGCTGAGTGAATGGAGTTGAATATCAGCTGGCAAAAGAGGTGGGGCTAAACAGCTGCAGGCTGAGTGGATGGGGCCAAACAGCTGCTGGAAAGATGAGTGGGGCTAAATGGCTGTAGGCCAAGTGGGTGGGGCCAAACTGCTGCAGACTGGATGGGTGGGGCTAAACGTCTGCTGGCAAAATGGGTGGTGCTAAACTGCTGTAGGCCCAGTGGGTGGGGTTACACTGCTGTAGGCTGAGTGGATGGGGCTAAAAAGCTGATGGCAAAAAGGGTGTGGCTGAACAGCTGTAGGCTGAGGGGACAGGGTCAAACAGCTAAAGGCTAAACAAGCAATACTAAATTGCTAGGTTGAACAGGAGGGGCTATAGAAGCTGTAGGCTGATAGGGTGGTCATATGCAAATGTGGTCATGCTTGTTGTCAGAGCTCAGCCTGAACCCAAATCTACAGTTCTTAACACAACGCAGTGAAAAGACTATGGTAACCCTATGAATGCGTAACAGTGACCAGCTAACGGGGTGGGACAGGAAGACCACCACCCATTCAACCAGGCCTGAGTGAGTAATACACCTCAACAGCACAGGCTTTGTGCAAAACGCCATCAAAGCATGCACCCGTGCAGCCCTATGGTGTCTTTTATGTCCTGGTGAACATTAAGACCCTCCAACCTTCAGACTGCCCACACTCCTCCTCCTGCTCGCCTCCCTCCTCTGAACAGCACACAGGAGAACAGGGACGACAGAAAGAAGGCATGTAAGGAAATAAGGACATTAAAACCGGCAGACAAGAGACTGAAAAGAGCTGAAATCACAAGCAGGAGAAACGTAAAACAAATACACAGAGAATCAGTTTTGTCAGCACTGTTTTACTGTTATTCCACTGATTCTTCAGAATGTCTGGTTGAGATTTAAACAAACTCATTCAAAACTTGGATTTCTTTACAGTGGCGGTGATAGGAACCAGACGTCCTGATGTCTACAGTGCAAATATAGCTTTTTTTGGTAAATATAACAGTTTATTTACTGTCCAAAATCACCAGTGAGCCTATGCATGTTTTCTGAGCTTGTATATATTTATATTTATGTACCGTTGATGGTAAAATAGTGGTCAAGCTAAAAAAAAAATAAGTTTACTAAGTTTTCTTCAGGGACTATTTTGCCTTACAACACCCTTCTTGTATCATTCCACCATGAACTGATTCAAAATAAATTCATTAAAATACCTTTTAGACCAAAAATGTTATCACAAACCTACTGTGAAACAACGTCCCAGGCATCACGCATCGCATTAATAACCATTTCATGTAGTAACTTTCTGTGAGGAGCTTTTAGAGGTGGACGTCTGGTTCCTATCACCACCACTGTGAACAGTTCTGACTCGGTAAGTTTCTCTGGAATGAAGCATTTCATGCCAAACCACTCTGAATGATTTTGTTGACACGTTAACAATGTAATAATGCAGAAAAAATAAAAAATACTTAAAATAATAAATCGGCGGACTTCGCCTTTAAGTCAAAGCGGAAATCTTTGTTGACGATTTGTCACAGACGGCCAGACACACAGGGGGTATTTGGATTTTACGCCGGGTGATTCAAAAAGGTGAGATAAAAAGAAAGCAGATGAAAGACAGAGGGAGGCGGGGCGTAACCGGAGGTCAGACAAATGATAAATGACGTCTATGGAGCTTTTGTGCAAAACAGAGCAGCAAGTCACAGGTGGCTGAGCTTTACAGTGATTTTATCAAAGACCCTGTTAGGCAAGTAGAGTAAACCCCCCTTACAGCTGATAAAATCACTGTAACATGAGGCTTTGAGCAGCTTACTGCTTTTAAAAACTGCAGACAATATTAAACATAAAAAAAAAAAAACGTAATAAAACAAAATATAAAACAGGACATTTTATGCCGATGTGGTCAGTGGTGTGCATATATCAAATGTCTTCTGTACTGTAACTTTATTTTTATTTGGCGGTTTATTTCCTGTAGAAAAATGGAAAGATACTGTTCAGTTTTTGATATAATTCTTGATTTAATGCTCTACATCCTTCTCCTTCGCCCATGTTGCATTTCCTGCGTGGGCAAACATAAACATACTGTATGTATGTACAAATCACTGCTGTCGGAACAAAACCTTGTATCTCCGTTGACATAATGTGAAAATGCCTGTTGCCTTTTACGTTGTGTGTAAGTTTCATGATAAGTGGATCAAAAGAAACGGTCCAAGATGACTTGGAAAAAAGTCTGGTTCCACTGACTTACATTAAAAGTAAAGTAGGTTTTTCCTTCTCCTTCCTCCTTGTTTCTACACTCACTGTCCATTTTATCAGCTCCACTTACTATATAGGTGCACTTTGTAGTTCTACAGTTACAGACTGTAGTCCATCTGTTTCTCTGATACTTTGTTAGCCCCCTTTTACCCTGTTCTTCAGTGGTCAGGACCCCCATGGACCCTCACAGAGCAGGTACTATTTGGGTGGTGGATCATTCTCAGCACTGCAGTAACACTGACGTGGTGGTGGTGTGTTAGTGTGTGTTGTGCTGGTACGAGTGGATCAGACACAGCAGTGGTGCTGGAGTTTTTAAACACTGTGTCCACTCACTGTCCACTCTATTAGACACTCCTACCTTGTCAGTCCACCTTGTAGATGTAAAGTCAGAGACGATAGCTCATCTGCTGCTGCACAGTTTGTGTTGGTCATCCTCTAGTCCTTCATCAGTGGTCACAGGACGCTGCCCACAGGATGCTGTTGGCTGGATATTTTTGGTTGGTGGACTATTCTCAGTCCAGCAGTGACACTGAGGTGTTTAAAAACTCCAACAGCACTGCTGTGTCTGATCCACTCGTACCAGCGCAACACACACTAACACACCACCACCACGTCAGTGTTACTGCAGTGCTGAGAATGATCCACCACCCAAATAGTACCTGCTCTGTGAGGGTCCATGGGGGTCCTGACCACTGAAGAACAGGGTAAAAGGGGGCTAACAAAGTATCAGAGAAACAGATGGACTACAGTCTGTAACTGTAGAACTACAAAGTGCACCTATATAGTAAGTGGAGCTGATAAAATGGACAATGAGTGTAGAAACAAGGAAGACGTACGTCCTCTAGCATTTCACAGTCATGATCTCAGTATAATGAGAATAACAGAAAGTGCCCCCTAAACTGGCTCTGGCTCACCTCCTGTCCCTTCAGGCTCTCCGTCCTGCTCGGCGTTGGCGTAGGTGCGCAGGAATTCAGCGAAGGCTCCCTGTCGCCCGAGCAGTTCGGCGTACGATCCGGTCTCAGTGATCTCTCCGTCCACCATCACCAGGATCAGATCGGCCTGCGGCAGGAAGCTCAGCCCATGGGTCACCAGCACACGCGTCTGAGAGAACAGCAAAGGATTAAGACTTTAACACATCGATGACTATTACTAAAAATGACAAATACATGTAAACTGCCTATTAAACATCGGGATCCATCTAACTTTACAGATTGTTTTTAATTAAAAAATAGTTTTTTCTTTGCTGGTTTTTAATCATTTTATTTAAAGAAAAACAGCAGAATAGGTGTAAATAACTGTACCAATATTAGTGACAGTGCTGTACTGAGAATAAAGCCAAAGGCTACGCCCACTTCCTCCCTTACTGTGATGTCTAACTAAAACCTTTCAGGCGTTTAAACCACCTTTGAATTACTGTAAGCTTTAATACGAGCTTTTAAGAACAGTTTGGAAACGAAAAATAGTCAAATAATTAAAAGAAAAACTGTTTCTCATATCAAGAAGTTACTTTAGTGAACATGAGGCTGAAGATAAACATACACCAAGCATCAACACAGAGCTGAATTAAACTAAAGAAATTATTTTCTTAACTGAAAAGAGGGCAAGGTGTCCCCAAACTTTTGACTAGTAATGTACAGTACTTTCCAAACGTCAGAGATCACCCTTCATTTACCACTTTCCAGTCAAAACAGCCATTTTTCAGAAGATACTTCTGATTAGATTAGATATAAGATCATATATCTTACATAATGTAGGGAAAGAAAAAGTCAAATGAAAATTTGAAAATGAAAAAAAGTTTTCAAAACTTGAGCTCCACTCTTTTCTTCAAATTTGAAAAAATATCAGGTGTTTCTGTCCATCCTTCCACTGCGAGAAGACACCCCAGCGCTATGGGTTTGAAAGGATGGCCCAGTCCCATTTCTTATTTTTACCCTACCCCTTCTTTTCGAGTGTCACCCTAACCCCTTGGAACTGAGTTACAGGGTAGTGGTTGAAGTCTTCCCTCTGAAATGGGACCCTCAAATAAAAAGAGCATCACTTCATTAACAGCTACCAGCGCTGCTCTGTAGGCGACCCTGCCAGTCTGCAGTGATAGCAGAGGAGGGTAAAGTTCAGCTCCTCACTGCTGGGTTTTAGTTAGATTTAGGGCATCATATGCCTTCAAAGAGGGGGGCAATTATTTATTATCACCCTCCACTAATTCTTCAGTGATATGAAGCTGAAGGCAGATGTTCACCAGCTTCTCGTTCGAATTTTCCCGTTCCACCTTAAATGGAGCAGCAGTTACATTCTGGCACTTCAGGCGTCAGAACTGCTGGAATATTTAAGGTGGAACGGGAAAGTTAGCTAACTAGCCACATAGACATTAGCATACTGTTTGCGATTTTTTATGCTTGATAAGATAATGTAATGGTTATTAACTGTTAATGGTTATTTAACAGAGAAAATTCTCACATTTGTGTGTTTCTTTGGTCTCTTGTTCTCCATCTTGCCGGTTTTTCTTTTTTTCTCATAACTCTCCGTTTGGAGTCTCTGAAAAACCTCCGTTTGGAGGGTCATGTAGCCCCAACACTTCACCCCACCCCTCTACCTCAACAAGAATCGGGACACCCTACTCCTACACATGAATGCGCAAAACAGAGGGCTAAGGGCTCAGTGGTAGGGGCGAGGGGTGAAATGGGACTGGGCCAATGTGCACCTGTCAAGAAGCCTCACTGAGAAAAGGAGACGGACACATTAAACAAAGAAGCTGAACAATGGACTGACCACCCCAAAGTCCAGACACCAGAGCTCAACATCACTGAATGTGTTTGATTACTTCAGAAAATGATCAACCAGCTTCTAAGACTGAACTTTGGAGGTGTGTCTGCAGATTCTTTGAGGAACTGAAAGTGAGTCTCCTGAAAAAAGAATGGAAGCTGGAATAAAGAGAAAGAGTGTCTCCCTGAACTCTGAACAGCTGATTTAATATTCAGCTGTAGAGCGATTTTCTGTCAAATATATTCTCTGCTTTGTTTTCTTGATGCTGAAAATGAATAAATTGTACTTAATGGCCATTTTGACTGGAAATTAAATGAAGGGTCTCAAACAGACTGTATACATTAACAACAAGGTCAGCTTTCTGCAACAAGAGGGTGAAATATCCAGATCAGAGTGAGGACAGTGAAGACTGACCTGTCCCTGCAGCACACCCTGAGGCCCGATGACCTTCTCAAAGATGTGTTTTCCGACGTGGGCGTCCACAGCAGACAGCGGGTCGTCCAGCAGGTAGACGGCGCAGTTGCAGTAAACGGCGCGGGCTAAACTCACCCTCTGCTTCTGACCACCAGACAGGTTCACACCCTGCACAGCAGAGTAAACCACAGATCAGCACTTCAGGCAAAAGCCAGCTGGCCTGCATCAATATGCTCTTCTGTAATGTTACAACATAAACAAGCAGCTAATCTGAAAGATATATATATATATATATATATATATATATATATGAGGTTTTCTGCATGCATGTACTTTCTGTTGTTGCTCAACAAACTAAACCATCACCTAATCAGTTAATAAAACTGTGACTTAAATTCAACTAGCTATAATAAATTATTAATTCTGTAACTATTACAAAATATTATTATCACTATAACTTATTCAGTGAGTACCACAAACTATTACTCAGTATCTACAAATTGAGTAATACAAATTAGCAACTATTATGAATTATTCAGTATATACTATGAAATAATTTAGTAAACCCTATAAACAATTCCATAAATACTATAATTTATTTTCAGTATTTAATATAAATATGCAGTTCTAATTTTAATATTCAGTATTCACTATGAATTATCCATTACGTACTATGCATTGTTCAATGACCATTATAGATTATTATTGAGTATCTACAAAGTAATGTGAGTAATATGATTTACTTAGCAAGTATTATGAATTATTCAGTATGTGCCATGAATTAATCAGTAGAACACTATAAATGATTGAGTAAATACTATAAAATCATTTAGTATCTAACAAATATGCACTTCTATCTTTAATCGTTCATTATGTACTATGAATTATTCAATGACTATTATAAATTATTATTCAGTATCTACAAATTGAGTAACTAATATGAATTATTTGGCAACTAATATGAAGTATTCAGCATATACCATTAATCAGTAAACACTATAAATAATTCAGTAAATACTATAAAATTATTTAGTTTCTAGTATAAATATGCAGTTCCAGCTTTAATTATTCAGTATTTACTAATAATTATTTATTATGTATTATGAATCATTCAATGACTATTATAAATTATTTAGTATCTACAAATTGAGTAACTAATGAATTATTTATCAACTATTATTAATTATTAGTGTATACTATGAACTAATCAGTGAACAATATAAATAATTCAGTAAATACTATAAAATGATTTAGTTTCTAATATAAATATGCAGTTCTACCTTTAATTATTCCATATTTACTATGAATTATTCATCATGTACTATGAATTATTCAATGACAACTATAAATTATTATTTAGTATCTACAACCTGAGTGACTAATATGAATTATTTAGCAACTATTACGAATTACTCAGTATATACTATGAATTAATCCGTAAACACTATAAATAATTCAGTAAACGCTACAAAATTATTGAGCATCTTATATCAATGTGCAGTTCTATCTTTAATCATTCAGTAATTAGTGTTAATTATTCCTTATGCACTATGAATTATTCAGTATCTACTCTGAAGTACTAATTAAAAAAGAAATTAGAGCATGTTTAACGCTTTCCGAGTTCACCTTCTCTCCGATCTCGGTGCCGTCTCCTCCCGGCAGGATCTCCAGGTCTGGTAGGAGAGCACACGCCTCCAGCACCCTCTGATACCAGCTCTCCTTCCTCTCCTGCCCAAATATGATGTTCTCCCTCAGCGTGGCGTTCTGGATCCACGCCTGCTGGGGCACGTACGCCACCGAGCCCTGAGAAACAGCACCAAACAACAGATGAATACCACAGACACAATCATGCCTCACATTATGGTAGAGGAAGTGGACACCTTTCCTTACATACGACACACTTATATATAAACATGGATAACAGTATGGACAGAATTCAGTCTTCAGGCTGTGTTCAGCTGTGTTAATGTACTTTAGTCCATGTTTGTAGATAACAGTGAGTCACAGTGTCAGAAACCACAGAATTAAGTCTGTTAGGCTTCGGCAGGTAAAAGTGGCCCAAATCTGATCTTCTCACCAAATCTGATTTTTTGATTGGCTTCTCACATTATCTTTTAAATGTGATCTCAGTCTGAACAGATCAGCTCCTAAACTGACCCGCATGAGCAAAAGAACAGAGCGTCACGCTGCTTCACGGCTCATCCAGAGGTAAAGAATCACGACCGCCAACGAACGCCAGTCACTCCCGGAGGATCAGCTTCATCTTCACCAGCATCACAGGAGCCATCAAGAAGCCTCACTGACTGACAGCTGGGCTCATCACCCAGAATGTGTTGGAGCCGTAAAAAGGGCGTGGTCACTTCTTTGGTTCGCGTCCTCGGATTCTTTAAACTGCTTTCAGACTTTTAACTGTTCTTTGACGCTGCAGCCTCGTTCTCCTGCGGCCGCGTTCGGACATTTCTACCTAAACCTCTTCAAACACTTTTGGTTTTGGATGAGTCTCTTCTAATTTTGGTACAGAAACATCAACCTAAATGTTTATGAGTCAACATCAACCTAAATATTTGAGTCTCAGCAGCACAAAGTGTGGCGAATGTGGAGTTGGATTGACGTAAAAGTCCGATCTGGCTGATCAGACTGAGCTGCACTGCTGAATATCGGATACCTATCGGATTTCAGTTCCATGTATGAAAGCGTCTCAAATCGGAATTGAAAATGTCCGATTCAGTGTGTTTATCTGTTCACACTGACACACAGACTCACATCTGAGTCACTTATTGACAAAAAGATCAGATTTGGGCCACTTTTACCTGCTGTGTGAACAAAGCCTAGAGATACTGAACATCTCCACACGGTCGTATTCCTATGCAAATGTCTGGGAGTTGTTATTAATATGTTATATGCAGGGAATAAATAGAAATTCTGGAGTAGAATGTGCAGAGAGTGTCCTATTTAAGTGCAAACATTTGGGAGCCCCTGGTCAAATTCTGCACATTTTAAGTGACCCTTATTAGTCCCACAGCGGGGAAATTTCACTCCGCATTTTAACTGATTCGCGCAGTGAAACACCACATACACACTAGTGAATGAACACACACTGGGGGGCAGTGAGCACACTTGCCCAAAGCGGTGGGCAGCCCTATCCGCAGCGCTCGGGGAGCTCAAGGGCACTCTGGTCACGTGCTGTCGGCTCAGGGGATCAAACCGGCGACCTTCCGGTCACAAGGCCAGGTCACTAACCTCCAGCCCATGATGGCACAATTACCATTTATTTGTAAATAAAAAAATAAATAAATAAATTTAAAAAATGTAAATGTATTCTGTGCATAAGTTATGGTACACTTCATATTTTCTGTTTTATTTGTTAACAATATGTTATATGCAGCAAAAAAAAATTTGCTGAAAACGGTCATATTTAAATGTGTATTTAAGTGCAAACCTTAAGTGCAAAAATTCTGCACATTTTAATGCACAATTACTGTTTATTTGCTGAATTTAACATACTGGGCTTAGAAAAATACATAAAACATAAAATGCATTCTGTGCAGAAGTTATGCCACATTTTATATTTTGTGTAAAAATTATATTTTTTCATTTTTGTTTTAGTTGTTAATGTTACATGCAGCAAATAAATCGAAATTGTGCAGGAAAATCCGCAGAAACGTGGCATATTTCAGTGTTCTTTGTAGAAGAAGTTTTAACTTACTTTTACTTAGAAAATTAAAACGTCATTTGATCTGTGGAGTTTAAACTTGTTCTATAAGGCAGTATGTGATTAATTAGAAATGCAGTTAGCACCCGGCTAGGCACATTTAGAGTAAGGGAGTGTTTTAATTAGGGATGCATGACGACATTAGAACCATATCAAGATAATTGCTTTAAAAAAAAATGCATCAGCATCAAACAGATGTTTCGATTTGGCCCATTTCACCCACGTTTAATGGCTTATTAGACTCTGGAAGAGCAGAATGCTTAGATAGTGCTGCGGAAACCACAGAGTGGCTATTGTCTGAACATATTCTTTAGCAGATGTGCCAACAGCTGCAGGGGAAATACACAGGATAAGCCTGTGTGCTGGGTCTGCTGTCAGACAGTGGACAGTGTGCTCGAATAAAGACTTCATCTCTGCTTCCTGTCTCCTGACTCTCTCCTTTGCGAGGATGAAGTTCCACAACACCGTATTAAAATATCTGAATTTTACTCACTTTGCATCCATATTCCTCAACAAATAAACACTGTATTTCTCTGTAATGCTAATCCAGGTGGATTTAGCCCCAGTTCCTCCATTATGTACGTATCTGCTTTTAGCTGCAGCACCAGTGAGCTGGAATTTGTTACAGGAATCTCTAGAGCTTCGCTCTCTGTTGTCACACGAACACTTTAAACTTTTAGTTTCTAACCACCTCCAATCAGCCTGACACTGTGTAACATGATTTTAGTTCACTTTCAAAGTGATTTTTCATTTTTTAGTTAGTGTTTCGTTTTTATTATCCTGTTCTTATTTACTTTAATACTGCCGAACTACTATTTCGCATCTTTTATTTCTTTATTTTATTAATGATCTACTTTTTTATCCCCATTTTAGCTTAAGTTACTATATTGTTGTAATTTTAATGGTTTATTGATTTATTTATGGGTCATTCTACAGAAACGTCCACTTTTCTATCCATCCGTAGGGGTCACTGGTGTTACTGGTCATCATTGGCATTACACATAATAAAGGAACACCAGAGACATTTTAATGAGCAATGCATTTTACAAAACGGCTGCTACAGAACATCAAACCACAAGTTGTCCATCATGGAATATCCACTAAAATATGGAATTTAATCCATTTGTATTCTATTCTTTCACAGTTACCTCAGAATAAAGTCGGTCACACCAGTGACTTCAGCTAAAAGCTTCGTATGAAATCATGAGCTGAATGAGAAAATCTCTGATAACTGAAAGACACAGTGGACTCACCATGAGCTTTTCTTCATAGATCCTCAGAAAACAGGTAAAAGGAAGTCGAGTGATGTCATCAGTGTGACTTTTATTTCAAAATAAGAGTTTTTCTGTTACGCAGTAACACCAGTGACACGACTCCTGGGGACAACAACTTTCATTATATATTTTATAATATTTATTTGGTGTTTGTTTTCTTTATGTCATTTAAATCATATATTTCATAGTCATGTATAGATTATTGCAGTTAAAACTGCAGAAAAACGTTTTTTTTTATCTCAAAATACGGCCTCAGCCTTCACACATGACTGTGGGGACGAGCTCTTCTGTGGTGCTTGGAATTCTAGATAATTGATTTATAAACCAATATTGCTAAATTTGTGGCTCAAGAAGGTTTAACTGTTAAAATAACTTGTTTTATTTAAAAATATAAATAAATTGTAACCCTAACATGTTTAAGTGTTATATATCTGTAAACGCTAAGGACACAAAAATGGACACTTTCCATAGAATGACTTTTTTTTTACTACCCTGATCTCTGTATTGGTTCGGCTGCACTGTAAATGAGGGTCTCCCTCAGTGAACTCTGAGTTTAAATAAGGGTTGGTTGATTATATAAATGGTAGCGTATCTGCAGCGGCAGGTTTGTGGGTGACGAGCTTCAGAAACCAGCCCAGAATTCCCATTTTGGAGCGTCCCTAATTTTAATTTTGTATTTCGTAGATGGTGTAAATCAGATTTTTTTTAACTGAGTGTGTAAGTGAAAGATACCTTGATGGACACAGATCCCTCCTGTTTGTGCATTTCTCCCAGTAGGGCCGAGAGCAGAGACGACTTCCCTGAACCCACATGACCCACCACGGCAACCAGCGCACCCTCAGGGATCCGCACGTTAATCCTTTAAGGAGAGGAAGAAGGACGGAAAAGAGAAAGACAGAGAGATACAGAGAGAACGGAGAGAAGGCTAAGAGGCAGTAGCAGAGGAACACAGAAGAACCAGTAGAGCACGCTGTGCAGTGAGGTGATCACACAACAATAACAGCTTTATCAATTATCTGATTTCCGCATTCATTTATTTCTTCTGCACATGCTGCGAAGTACATTTCAGTTTATGTAAGGAAAATTAGATGAATTTGTGTAATAAGATTAAGATTAAGTGACCCTTATTAGTCCCACAACGGGGAAATTTCACCTCGGCATTTAACCCACCCGTGCAGTGAAACACCACATAAACACTAGTGAACACACACATTAGGGGGCAGTGAGCACACTTGCCCGGAGCGGTGGGCAGCCCTATCCACAGCACTCGGGGAGCAGTTGGAGCTTCAGTCATGTACTGTTGGCTCTGGGAATCGAACCAGCGACCTTCCGGTCACAGGGCCGGTTCCCTAACCTCCAGCCTACGACTAATAAAACACAGTGAAAAGGGCTGTCATGACTGACTGATTATAGCTTCATAAGAGATTTTAAAAATTGATTTTAATTTACAGTTTTGACGAATCAGCTTAGTGATTATTTCACAGTCAACATGACAAACAGGTTCAATGTAAAGCCGTGTTTGGCAGATTCTCCAGAAAGCGGGGGCTATTAGCACTCAAATAAGCATGCTTTAGTGTGTGCATCACTGAAAGGGAGGAAACCCACAGCATCAGGATTTCATGAATGCACGCTTGTAGTTACAAATGACGTCGTGAAGTAAAACAAAGTTCTCGGTTACACGTTACATGGATATGAAGTAAAACGAATAGTCTTCTGTTGTAAGTCGCAGAATTTGTTTAACTAGGTCTCGGCAGAACAGATCGGCAGACAGCTAACGGGCTAACAGACTCCTCCAATAACATTGAGTTAACCCTCTACTGCACGCATTATGAGAATAATTAATCAGTTCACTTTTCTTGCACAAAATGGCCTTGATTTATTTTTTCAGACCTGATTATTAAATTAAAAACATTAAAATGTGTGCAGGGGTCCTTTCGGAGTATGTTGCATTGATTCAACATTGTGTGACAATGAGAAGAAATGATACAGAGGCAGATGTGGTGAGCTCTGGCTCGTGACTGGCTAAATCAATTCCTCTGTCCCACATATATAAATATATTTTTGCAAATTCACATAATAAAAAAATGACACTAAACATTAAAAAAGATGTTTAAATGAGCCCATTAAGAGCTTTTTATTGACTTATTCAAACTCTTCCCTTTACTGTTAATCCTATCGCTGTCTTTACAATAACATTATACATATTTAAAGTGAGGAAAATGAGTTTGTTGCCCTGAGGCAACATTGTGCAATAGAAGGTTAAGTTTTGCTGAAAGATTGCATACAAACTAAATAATACACCACTTTGAATGTCCGTTACGAGCTTCAAATGCTGGCAAATACTTCAAAAGTCCATGTTTAAGTAAAGCTGGCCGATTGTGTAGTGCGGGTAAGTTAAAGTACACTATCATTAGCTGGGCTAACATAACATAGAAATTCCAATAGAAGCGCTAGTGGAAATGAACATGGTCATAGTGGTGGTACTTAGGCTTTTATTAGGTGAAGGTTTCTGCAGTAAGCGCTGTTCCATATTGATATTCATGGACGTGACACATTCATGAAATGATAAAAAAACGTATCCGAATTTCTAAAGTGCCATTAAAAATGACTTTTTTTTTTACAAGATCATTTCAGTAAAGTATTCTGGAGTCTTTGAAAGACTCTGCATAGTATGTTATTATTCAAGCCCCTTTTAGTTTAATTTAGTAATTAATTTACTAATTAAAATTGATTAAATCATCAAAAAGTCAGTCCTAACACTCATCAAAATGAACAAACAAACAAATAAGAAAACTATACGGAAAAAAATGACGTCAAAGAACTTTTTTGATGCTTGATTTGTAACAGATGCGTTCAGAATCAGCGCTTGAATCACAGCAGTGATGTTGAGTCTCGGTCTCATTTCAGCCCAGCACATCACGCTCCAACACACCCGGCTCAACTCTGAAGAGTGATAATCACCTGCTGAGCTGATTCAGGTGTGTTTGAGAGCAGTGGGCCAAGGCCCGGTACTGAACACCACTGGATTAGAGGGATACAGTACATCTTCATTCTTTAATTAGTTTAAATGATCTAATTTGTCTCTTAAATTAGCCAGAACGCATTTTCATCTGGCCGGTGAAATTGTTTTGAGTTGTCTAAGCATGCAGGTGTACTTGCCGACCAAGTCCAGACACTCCGGTTTCAGCAGGTGCTACATAACCGCAATATTTCACACGTCAACATCAACAGCCTCAATTCAGAGAAGAGTGTTTAGTTCAGTTAGTTTAGTTAAATCTGAATCATCATCTCGACTTTTTGCCTTTGTTTGGCCAAAATCTCAATTACGCAATTTCCTCTCATACCCCAAATACCAAAATGTGTCTTGGCTGATGGAATTTTGCTTCTTTAGCTTTACAACTATTACAGCTAACAAGCAATGGAACCTGGTATCCCACCAATTACATCCATGCCAAGCCATTAAAGAGGAATTTCACACATTTTTAAAAATTATTCTACATAATTCAGTGGTTAAGATGTAAACAAAGTCATTCTGAGTGGTTTGATATGAAATGGTTTATTGCAGAGAAGCTTTCTGACTCATGTCGTCTGTTTTCATACGTAATTTTGATGACTATAATATTGGTAAATCTGGAAAAACACATTTTATTTGGAGTCTATTTGGCCATCACAATGCTCTCCATGTATCCCTCCACCATGAATAGCCTTTTAACATGTTTTGGACCTCAAATCTTCTCAAAACTGTCATAAAACAGTGTCTCAGTCATCAGGCCATGTATTCCTATCATAACTTTCTGTGAGGGAGCTTTCAGAGGTGGACGTCTGGTTCCTATCACCACCACTGCGAACAGTTCTGTTTCTCTAGAACAGAGCGTTTCACACCAAACCACTCTGAATGACTCTGTTTACGTCTTAACCATTTATTTATGCAGGAAATTTTGAAGAATAGGTGGGATTTCCCTTTAAGTAATCTCAAACAGACTTGCCTATGTAGCTTAAATGGCTATTGGGGTAAGGAGGTAAACTACAAATTTAATTTTGGTCAAACTATCGCTTTAAGTCACACAGAGAAGCAGTTACCTCTTCAAAGTCGGGGGGTCGTCTTTAGACCAGCTGAAAGCACCATCCACAATCCTGATGCTGTCTGGAGCTGAATAAAGACACAAAGAACAGCACTCACGTCTCACCGCTGGACATCAAACCACCGCCAGCGCAGACACCCACGCTCTCAGTGTCCACCCTCGGGCCTTTGAGGAGCTACGCTTGATCTGCTTGTACTGCAGGGGAACTTATTTGGCAGTTCATGTCAAAAGCAGCTTTGTTTCTGAGGTCAAGCACAGCTGTTCTGCTACACTCGCTGTAGAGCTCAGCTACCACGCTGCTGGAGATCGACCTTCCTGCAGACTTCAGCTGCAACCTTAACCAGCCCGCCTCATCCATGTGATTACTGCAGTCTGAAGTCCGTGATTAGCTGACAGAGGTGTGTTCGATTTGGGTTGGCGGTGAAACCTGCAGGACGGTGGATCTCCAGGTGGATGCTTGGTGGCAACTGCTAAAGGAAAACTCGTTTTTCAACCTAATCTCTAATCTGCAGAGCACAGTCGATGACGACAACACTGAGAAAAGAACAGAAAACCCACTGACTCGTAGCAAACTAACAGACATCGCTGAGCAGCTGCTGAATTCCATGAAGAGTTAAAAGGTATAATATGACATTTTACCATGGAAAAAAGGAAAATTTAGACGTTCCACTGACAGTATACTACGTCTTTAAGCACCGCCGCACAGTGTGGTGCTTAAAGACGCAGTGAGGAAGAGAAAGATTTAATAAATAAAAAAATGATTAATTAATTTATTATCAATTTAATTCATTTTTAATTTAAAAAAAAACTAAATAAATAAATAAAAAAACAGACAGATTAAAAAAATAAATAAAAAAGTTACTTTTGCTTTTCTCCTAAGGCTTTCTGGTAAAATCCAAATTACTACAAATTTTTTCTCCTGGAAAATTTTACAGATTTACTTGTGTACAACACTTGTTGTGCTGTTTTCACTATTACAGTAATTGTGTAAGACTTACAGCCAGTAATAGCTTTGCGATCAACACTGTCCTCATCCAACTCCTCATGAGACAGAAACACACGCAGACGCTTCATAGACACGCTGGCCTGCAGGGACGAGAGAGAGAGAGAGAGAGAGAGAGAGAGAGAGAGAGAGAGAGAGAGAGAGAGAGAGAGAGAGAGAATCACATCACAATGACCACAGCACACAATAACACAATAAATGAAAACACATGTAGTGTCAGTTATGCAATAATGTGAGTTAAACATTAAATACAGCTCTTTCCAATTAAAGAAATACTTCAACCAAGAATGCTAATGATCAAAGAAAAGCTAATAGGTGACTCAGCATGACGCAAATGACATTCTGTGAAGAGGTCCTTATTACACTACACTGTTAGCCACAATGAAGCTGTTTCATGAATCAATTCAGGGCCCTTTCCGAATCATTTTACAAGTCAGTTCAGATCCCGTCAGAGTCAGTTCAGGACAAATAGGTGGCTAATACGATGTAATTTCATGAATTGGGGGTTATTTGAATCGTTTATTGTATATATGAACTCCAAGCAAGACTCATTGCCCTGAACTGACTCTGACGGGCTCTGAACTGACTTGTTAAATGGTTCGGATGGGCCCTGAACTGACTCGTGAAACAGCTTGGACAGGCCCTGAACTGACTCGTGAGTCGACTCAGAGAGGCCCTGAACTGACTTATGAATCAACTTAAATGGGCCCTGAACCAACTCAGGAAACAGCTCAGACACGTCCGGATTTGACTCGTGAATCAACCTGGGCACGCCCTGAATTGACTCGTCAATCAACTTTGATGGGCCCTGAACTGACACGTGACTCAGCTCACTCATGCACAGTCATGACTGTTAAGCAGTTCTCCTGCAGCTCAGCGTCAGTTTCATTACAGCTTCAATGATCCTTTCACTGCAGAAAAACTTTAGTCTACTGGACAGAATGGAGCAACACATGCAGGGGATGAAACCGTCCATTACTGACCAAACTGCTCCTTTAACTGAGCGCTGAATGCCTGAGTGGAGACTGACCTGCACCATGCTGCTGATGACCATGGGCAGCATGTTGAGAGGAAAGCGCAGAATGTTGAAAAGAGCCAGCGACACGAAGGCTTTCTGAGCGTCCAGAACATTGTGCTCGTCCACCAGCACATACACTGCGAATGTGGAGAGCGCCACCTAGCAGGAGAACAAGAACATCCAATAACAGATGATGATATTAGAAGGTCTCTACGTAAAGTCTTTTGACATCATTTCATAGTCTAATAACAGCCAATTCTCCCTCAAATGATCTCAAATTTTAACAAAATGTGTAAAAACCAACCAAGTTTAATTCTTAATGTTTTTTTTCAGGTTGAACGGCGTTCACTAGAAATGAAAAGGCGTTTTGTGTGTTAGAATATGCTCGAACACCAGCTGGAAAGCAGATTTGGACATGGCACAAAAAACTCAAAGAGGACGGCTGTCTGTGCAGGGCAAAGGGATCTGGACCACCAGTATCGGTAGATATTACATTTGTGAAATCGGTTATAAAATCTACATCCCTCTGAATTTCTTGTTTGAATTTTAATAACTAAATCTTGTATTGTTCAACATGAAGCCTATTTAATTTCGTTCGCCAGGACATGTAGTTACTCAGATATTCACATCTCAAATTATGTCATTTTTCTGGGACACCCTGTATTTCATAAAGTAATGGTTTTATAAAGCCATGTTTTAGTATGTATGAACAGCTTATGTCAGTTTTTGCAAGATGACATAAGATGTTTAATGAAGTAAATGACAGTGTATTGACATTAGGGCTCATAAAAATTGATAACTGATGGGCAACTGTTTAATTCATAAGACTGTTATGAAGCACCGTTACCACGTAATGGAACTGAGGCATGTATGTAGTGTAAATATATCGTGTAAAGCGCCGCCACTGGACTCTGGAGCAGTGGAAACGTATTCTGTGGAGTGACGAATCAGCTTCTCTATCTGTCAGTCTGATGGACGAGTCTGGGTTTGGCGAATGCCAGGAGAACGTTACCTGCCTGACTGCACTGTGCCAGCTGTAGAGTTTGGTGGAGGAGGGATGATGATATGGGGCTGTTTTTCAGGGGTTGATCTAGAACCCTCAGTTCCAGTGAAGGGGAATCTTAATGCTTCAGCACCAAGACATTTGGACAGTTGTACACTTCCAACTTTGTGGGAACAGTTTGGGGAAGAACCTTTCCTGTTCCAGCATGACTGAGCCCCAGTGACCAAAGCAGCTCCATAAAGGCCTGACTGGGTGAGTTTGGTGTGGAAGACCTTGTGTGTGTGTGTGTGTATTTTTTCATAGATACGGCCTCAGCCTTATAAGTTCCTTGGTAATGATGCTTCATAACAGTGTTATAAATGGAACAACCGTCCACCACTTTATTTTAAGCCCCTATGAAGTCATCTTATGTCCTCCTGTTCATAAATACTCAACTACTGCTTTTAAACATGTTATTCACCACTAATGCCTGTGTTCACTATGTAGGCTGCCTTCAAATAAAGTGTGACTTCAATTGTTCCAGGTGACGGCCTCTCTCACCAGGAATGGAGCGCAGACCCAGGTGAAGGTGGAGACGGCGCCCAGGTAAGCTGCTTTCTTCAGCACGCGCAGTTCGCTCTCCCTGATGGCAGATACTTTATCTTTGAAAGCCAGTTCCCACGCGTACAGCTTCAGCACCTTAATGCCGTTCAGAACCTCGTTCATCAGCTTTATCCTGTTGTCTTTGCTCTTCATCTGAGCCACCTGAGGGCAGAAACAGCAGCAACAGTGGAGCTCACTCACCAGGAAACACTGCAGAGTCTAGGCAGGGTAGTAACTCTACTGTCTCACCATCACCACATCATAGGAAGCAGAGCAAAACAACAAAACCCACAAAAGATAGCTGTGGTTCTAAGATCTGATTGACTGAGCCACAAGCAAAGCGTTGTGGATTGCCAGAGTTATTAGTGAACCACATTACTTAGTGGAGGAGTAGTTTACAGCAATTACTGTTGAATATAAATCAACTACACAATAACGGGTAACACTTTACTATAGGGTGCTGTTCATAAGGCTACATGACACCTACATAAGCCTGTCATGACGACTGACATGTTTACTCCAATAGGCATCATCTGTCATAAAGGCTTCTTTAGCTTACTTTGATCAAAATTGGTAAACGTACCCTTCATAGCAAATGATGCCAATTGGAATAAGTGTTTATAAATATTTATGCAGGGTTATGTCAGCTGTCACGACAAGCTTATGTAGGCGTCATGCAGCCTTATGAACTGCACCCTACAGTAAAGTGAATGGTCAAAGCAATGTATGGGGAACCAGTGCAAACATCTGTAAACTGTACAGAAAGATTAGGGTGAAACTGTCCCATAGCAGCATTTATAGAATTTAAACAGCATTAAATAGCATTATGGGTAACACTTTACTGTAGGGAGCTGTTCATAAGGCTACATGACACCTACATAAGCTTGTCATGACAGCTGACATAACCCTGCATAAATATTTATAAACACTTATTCCAGTTGGCGTCATTTGCTATGAAGGTTACATTTACCAAATTTAGCTAACGTAGCCTTTATGACAGATGATGCCTACTGGAATAAGCATTTCTAAACATTTATACAGGGTTATGTCAGTCGTCACGACAGGCTTACGTAGGTGTCATGTAGCCTTACGAACAGCACCCTACAGTAAAGTGCTACCAAACAATGAAGTATTCAGGCCTTAGATATTTACAAGACTGTTATGATGTATTTAAGTCATTAATAGAGATAGAAATAAACTAAATATATACAAATCATAACTTACAATTACTAAATATAAACAAATCATAGGGTACTTTCTATTAGAAGGTATCTGTCCCAAACCTTCACTCCTAAATTCACACTAGTGTAAATAATATTTACATTTTTTTTAAAAGATTTTTTTGAAAGATTTACATTTATCATTAATTAAAGAGTAGTGGCTCATAATTAATCATAATTAAATTACAGGATCAACACACACACACACACACACACACCATCTAAACCGCTTATCATTCAGGGTCGCGGTGGGGAGCTGGAGCCTATCCCAGCTGTCATTGGGCAGAAGGCAGGATACACCCTGGACAGGTCGCCAGTCCATCGCAGGGCAGACAGACAGACATACACAATCACACACACACTCACACCTAGGGGCAATTTAGCACGTCCAATCAGCCTGACTGCATGTTTTTGGACTGTGGGAGGAAACCGGAGTACCCGGAGGAAACCCACGCAGACACGGGGAGAACAGGCAAACTCCACACAGAAATGACCCTGGTCGTCCGGGTGGGACTTGAACCCAGGCCATTCTGAGACGACAGCGCTACCCACTGCGCCAATTACAGGATCACTCTAAGCAAAAGGATTTTAGTCTAAAGTCCAAGATCAGTTAAAAGTCCCACATGTACTTTGAACCAGTTCAGTAGAATGATTCCTATACCCTCAGTTCAAGAACATGGAAGGCATTTTCAGAGCAGATGAAGTTTTTAACCTGGTAGGTTTTGGTTTTCATGGCTATAACTGCATTCACTGGAACCATCAGCACCATCACAGCAACTCCAGCCAGAACAGATGGACCTAGATTCTGCACAGAGCACAAGAGAGAAAAATCCACACATTTCCACACCGAACAACATGAGCTGAGATTTAAGCATCTCCACCCAGATCAACAGAGCAACAGCTGAAGGGGGACTCCACTAATTTTTCAAGAATTCTACATAATTAAATGGTTAGATATAAACCGAGCAGTTCAGAGTGGTTTGGTGTGAAACGCTCCGTTCTCGAGAGACTTACTGAGTCAGAACTGTTCACAGTGGTGGTGATAGGAACCAGACGTCCACCTCTAAAAGCTCCCTCACAGAAAGTTTCCACATGAAATGGTTATGAATTCACTGCCTGATGATGGATGGAGGGATACATGATATGCAGGGCGCTGTGAGGCCAAATAGTCCCCAAAGAAAACTTATTATTTCAGATTTTCCATTATTTTCCATCATCAACATTCCATATAAACTCAGAAGACTCGTGTAGGTTCACTGGTGGTTCTGGATAGTAAATAAAATGTCTATATCTGTGTTGTAGTCATGGCGACCCCTGGTTCCTATCACCACCACTGTAAAGACATCCAAGTTTATCTACAGTGAACCATTTCTGAATGACACTGTTCATATCTCAAGGACTGGATTATTCAGAAATTTAGAAAAACTGGTGGAATCCCCCTTTAAACAGTAAAGTTACCTTTTATCAACAAGCCATGCCAAAATAAAACCTAATTGAGCCTAAAGCCAAAATGTATACATTAAAAGTAAAGTAGGTTTTTTCCTTCTCCTGCAAAGTCACCATTTTGGAGATACGAGGTTTTGTTCCGACAGCAGCGAAATAAACACAAACACAACTTTACTTTTAATGTAAGTCAGTGGAACCAGACTTTTTTTTCCCCAAGTCATCTTTTGACTTTGGGTGCTTGAATGGTTTGTTTTTGAAACCTAAACAAAAGCAGGGCTCGTAAACAGGCTCCCACCTGCCAGAGGAAGTAGAGCGCCAGGATGACCTGAAGTGGAGCAGACCAGATCATGTTGATGTAAGTGATGAGGTCCATAAAGCGCTGAGCGTCCACTGACATCAGGTTGACTATCTCTCCCACTGTGGAGGTGCGGCGGGCCGCGTTTGTGATAACCAGCGCCTGAAGCAGATAAAGACAGTCATGTAACGACATGCTATTGTTGTTTAAGAGATCAGATTAAAGATCCCGTAAGATTAAAGGGCCCATGTCTGACATTCTTTGGATTGTATGTTCGCCCACCTGAACCTAAACATGTGTGTAATCATTGAATTGTATTAATTTTTTGATTTATGGCTTGTAGAGGTCTGTACGGGACAGCAGCTCCCACAAGATCTCATCCCGCTCCAGGCCAAAACCGAAATGTTTTGTCCCACTCCTTCCCATGCAGTTCTGTCAAGGTCCAATCACAAATACATTACTGCTGAAATAACACCGCAGTCGTGGTCATCAGGCTCACTGTGAGTAACTTCACCGCCATTTATTCAGGGTTTAAACACAGAGCAGGAATTAAACCACAGAGCGGCTATTTTTGGTGTTTTGCTGGGCAGCTGTGGCCGTCAGACTGAAGGCTCCGCCGTCTCTCTAACGCCTTATTCACTCGCTGCCTTTGCGTGGCGTGAGTGATGCGGCACTGTGAGCGCTACAGCTCGGACGCGCTGGCCTTTAATACGCACAGCGGTTGAGCTGTTGAGCAAAGCAACAAGAAAGTTATACAGATATTTCTGCTCCCAGACGGACAGATGGTCATATCAGTCACTCTGCTCAACAAAAATATCATTTATGAATGTACACGATATGTTTGTTTATCCTCGACAGCATTCTGACTGTGATTAAGCAAAAGTTTCAAGCCTGGTGGACCAACTGGGAAATCTGTCTGCAGCACAGAGTGTTTAACTAGCATTTCGTCATAAATTAAATAATAAAAGTAGCATTTTTAAGTTTGTATATGGTTTTCTATTTAATTTTCACTGATTTTCAGGGCTTATTTCAGTGTATTTTGCTGCACGCAGAAAAAAATCTGCCCCGGGTCCATTCTCTAAACACCGCGGGGCTTCGGTTCAGCGTCTGGGACGCTCTTCCGCTTTGCACGCACAGCCTGACCAGTTAACATTGGCGCCTAAATGAAAAGCAAAACTTTCCACATCGCTCACGCCACTCAGAAGCAGTATGAGTGAACGAGGCCTCAGCTACAAGAATTTGCGTGTTGTTCATGTGACTAACTGCTTCGCAACTCTTTAGAAAGACGCCATTTTAGCTGTTTTGCTGTTATCATTTTATATCATTTATATATATGATTTAGTGATCATTCTCATTTATTTAGGCTGTTCGTTAATTTGCAGGGATTTCTCTTTGTGTTTTTCGGCCTGCTCCCGCCTGCAGCGGGCTGGTTTCCCACCCCACTGAAAACTAGTCCCACGCCGCAAGATACTGTGGTGGGTCCTACAGGAATAGACCTCTAGTGGTTGGAATAGTGTAGTGGGTAACTGGGGCTAAATTCCCCACTCACACCATGCTACACTAGAAAGAGTCTTTGTTAAAGACTCCTAATTCTACGCTCACCTACCTGTTTAACAAAAAGAAATTCTAATCCACTCTGGATAAATTCACCTGCCAAATGCATAAACGGAAATTATTTTAGGAGCTTAGTTTCCACATATGGACTGCACAGACTTCAAAAGTGAACAGCATGATAAACAAAAAACAACGTACATTAAAGAAAGTAATTCACTTTCCTTTGATGGTTCCACGTTAAAGATACAGAAACATAAGATACCATTACATATAATAGTAAAGCAAATTAAGGGCAGCAGTAAGGCATTTTTTGCCCTTTACCACTAAAATATTTCCATAATATCACAGCTGAGATCTGTTCAAAGAAAAAGAAAAATTAGTCTATTTTCTCCGCTAAAAAAAAATTCCTTGGCTCTTCCATCAAACCTCACCTTCCTGTAGACCGCTCCTATGATGGCCGTGCGGAGCCTCATCCCCGTCACAAAGCACACGTGGAAATATTTCTGCAGGATGAGCGTCTGAACGCAGGTGCACACAAACAGCAGAGCGGTGTAGAAGTAGCCGTGCCAGGAGGGGGCGCTGGACTCGTTCACGAACTGGATCAGCAGCCTGCAGAGGAGGTTTCATCAGAGACGTTATAGAGGAGGAGTGGGTCGCTGGTTGAAACATGAATGGGAAAGCATCTCTGAAGGCTGAGCGCCGAGTGGTGGGCGCTGCCGCTGGCTGAGCGCAGATTGGTTAGCATTACTGCTACTGCGAGCTGATTGGTTGGTGAGCCAGAATACAGCACTGTTTAAGTATTTATGCTGCTCTGTGTTGAGTAAACAAGCACTTTTTTGTAAAAAAAAAAAATGTACAAACTTTTACAAACAATTTTGCTCAAAAGCTAATATTCATTACAGACTCGCTCAGGAGCGCCCTCTAGTGTCTGACATTACTGAGCAGTCAGTACTCTGAATTCAGCATATCACCAGCAGTCTAAAGTGGCTGACCACAGCGTTCAGGTAAACTGTTCTAAACCACACTGACAAGTCTGGAAGCAGTTTAAGCTCAAGGAATGTGTTTACAGAAAAGATTTGGGTGACTATTGACTTCTAGTGATTGATAGCAATGTTAAAGCTCCAGCGTTAAACTAAAACAGGAACATTTGGACGCCAAGTGTTTTGGAGTAACCTCAAAATAGCCCTAGGCAGCTATTTCAGATTACTTAACAACTCAACATGGTTCGAGAAGAGGGTGTGATTAAGTTAGCACCATGCTAACTGGTCCTCACGAGCTTCCGCTACCAGTTAGCTCCAGTGATAAATTAAAGAAATAAACATGTGCCTGATTGATTATTGTGTAAATAGAATTTTAGATGCATCTAAAACAGCCGTTTCAACCTAAAGCTCCAAATTTCTGTGTACGTTTTCACAGCAGGAGCTGAACAGAGCTACAGGGCGGTTATGTAAGCGTCAGAATGCAGTCTTGCTGCTTTTGGGTCCATAAAAACCTCACTGATGAGTTTACAGACACGCCACAGCCTGTGAAAGGAGTAAATGAGTTCAGCCTCTCGGAGACGGCGGGAGGGTTCTGCTCATTGGTAATTTGATCATATTCAGCAGGCGAAAGCAAACTCTGTACAAAAGGCACAGCTGCTGTTTAGGAAGTAAAACCTTCCCACCGTGAGAAGGTCCAGCTCGCTGTGAAGGAAAGTAAACAACTGAACACTGGACCACAAACTCTTCTCTTAAACCACAGAAACTCTAATGAACCATTCATCACACTTGTAACTCACTGGAATACAATAACTATATATTAAGGTATAATAATAAAAGCAACGACTTCAACAACAATAACAACCAACTTCTTTGCATCGTCTTGATTGGAGTAAGTGAATAATAAGCCTCAGAATTTGTACGTACATATAAGCACAAATGAAACATCACTATACTTAGATGTTTTTAGATACGCATCGTGACGTACACTTTCTGAAATGTATAAATAATGCAACAGCAAAACAGAACTACATTAAAAAAAGGCTATAAAAACTAAAAGGTTGAGCAGTTTTGTGCTAAAACACACATTTTACATTATATACTAGAGATGCACAGGTACCCCTTTTTCCCTCCCGATACCGATACCTGATCCTTAAGTACTGACCGATACAGAGTACCGATACCGATACTCTAGAACTCTATCTGACCTAACTCACCTATAAGTCCTGATATTTACATTTTTTAAATATTTTATGTGGTAAAATCTGTGCTCTGCATCAGAAATAAAACACACTCAGCTTGGCTAGATGGTACTTACTTGTTGGACTATATTTATTAGATGCTTAAGAAAACTTGTGTTTATTTACTGTATATATTTAGTACGTCCTATTATATAACTAGTAATAAGAACCATGTTTAACATCTTAAGTAAATGGAAAATATTTTTATTTATTGTGCAAAACAGTTAAAAACAGAGCTGAACGGTTTACAGATAAACCTGTGGTGTTTACACTTCAGCACACAGCAGCTTCTCTGGCTCAAAACGGAGCTGAATGTTGTTTCACATCCAAAATTCTCGAGTCGTTTGTCTCAGACGTGTCAGTATCGGCGACTCTCAGTGCTTTTTCTGACCTGGTTGAAGCGACAGGACGCGAGACCCCGCTGCTGAGTGATACAGCTGACCAAAGGAGGCGCACCGCAGGCGACGCACAGGCTGCTATGCTAAAGGCTTAATTGAGGCTAAAGGCGATACACCAAGATTCTGGCGGTTCCTTCGGCTCTCTCACTAACATTAATTCAGACTTTAAGTGACCACACAGTGGCAGACGAGTGATTATGGACAGAAGCAGCAATACCGATACCGTGCTTAAGTGCCAGTATCGGTGCAACACCACTACATACTATATATAATATTATATTATATTTTACATTAAAACAACAGAATGATAGCAAATAGGTCTGCCATCCAATCAGCTGCACTGTTGCTATGCAGTTTATGCAGTTGGACACACTGGATGTTGTTGTTTACAGACTCTTGTGCTATAGAAGCACCATCCTCATCATATACCCAGAAAACGGTATCGTGACGCAATTTATCACAATAATGATAATATATCATCATACTGCCCACCCCTACGATAAAGAGCAGAGGAGGGGTTTGAGATTTAAATAAAAAAATTAAATTAAAATAAAAAATTAAAAAAATAAAATAAAAAATAAATAAAAATAAAAAAAAGGCACCTGAGGATTTCTGGTCCTACGAACATCAGGATGTCGTGGATGATCTTGTAGAAGGAGCTGACGAGGAAGTACGGGCCGAACGTCCTGCAGAGTGCGATGAACAGAGAGGGACTGCCGCTCTTCTGAGGCGTTTTCATGATCAGAATCTCAGACTCCTCTATCGGCAGCCCGTCCTTCTTCTCAGCCATTGCCGACCGTTTGGGAGAATACATGGTTTTTTCATGTGGCCTGAAGGAGAAAACAGAACAAGAGGTGCAGGTTCATCACTGAAAAACACAAAAGAAATACATCATTAAAAACACAAAATGCATGATTTTCACCCAGTCCCCAGATTTTCAAAATAACATGAGCCTAAATGATGACGACAAAGCAAAATTCACCTTTTCAGCCCCACATTGAAAGCAGCACAATACAGAGGAGCTTATATACAGTCTCAAAATGGAAACTGGCCATGTTGAAATGTACTAAAGACTGTTTTTGATGCATAAAACCACACAAACAGTTTGAGTGAACCTGGGCGAGACACGATACAAAAAAAAAAAGGAAATGTAGAATAAGACCCATTAACCTCTTCAACTCCTTGAGACCACCGGTGGTTCCAAAACACACTTCGTCATATTCTTCATAACTTTCATATTTAATAAGCTACATTCTAAAGGTGGGGGTCGTATGAGAGCTGTAACTGTCTTCTCTCCAGTCAAACAGATGGGTGATGTAATTTTAAACCCTTATAATAAAAGAAGCTGAACTTTTTCTACTGAAAGTCGACCCATTTTTCCACAAATCTGGGCTATAAACTATAAACAGATGGCGTCTCTTCAGTGATCTGCTCTGGAAAAATTATTTTTATAAAATAATACAAAGAGCGTAAGATTTTTGGCTTTCAGCTGTAAATTGTAAGCATATAGCGACATGTGTAGATCATAAAACACATTTTCAGGGGGGACTGAGCAAATTAGATTTTTCACCAGACCGTTGCTTTAAGCAGACACTGTGTACATTTGCTGAGCGTCTGCTCTTTAAAACTGAGCTATGGACGCACATAAGTCACACACAGCCATGTTTACTTCTGTTCCCTGCTTGCTCAGCACAGAAACGGTTGCTAGGACATCATCTTTTATTGACCGAATGCTGAGTAATGTCTGCTGTCTGCAGAGTATTTGCTTGACCAACATTTGGCGTCAATCACAGGCCCCTCAGACACTGTGGGGGAGGACGGCGTTCTAGTCAACAAGTTAAGATGGATTATAAAATTGTACTTTTATAAATGTGTACGTGAAAGAAAATATGTAAAGAGCCTGTTGGTACATTTTACACTAGTGCTATACACCAATCGGGCACAACATTCTGACCACCTCCTTGTTTCTACGCTCATTGTCCATTTTATCAGCTCCACTTACTATATAGGTGCACTTTGTAGTTCTACAGTTACAGACTGTAGTCCATCTGTTTCTCTGATACTTTGTTAGCCCCCTTTTACCCTGTTCTTCAGTGGTCAGGACCCCCATGGACCCTCACAGAGCAGGTACTATTTGGGTGGTGGATCATTCTCAGCCCTGCAGTAACGCTGACGTGGTGGTGGTGTGTTGGTGTGTGTTGTGCTGGTACGAGTGGATCAGACACAGCAGTGCTGCTGGAGTTTTTAAACACTGTGTCCACTCACTGTCCACTCTATTAGACACTCCTACCTTGTCAGTCCACCTTGTAGATGTAAAGTCAGAGACAATAGCTCATCTGCTGCTGCTGCACAGTTTGTGTTGGTCATCCTCTAGTCCTTCATCAGTGGTCACAGGACGCTGCCCACAGGACGCTGCCGGCTGGATATTTTTGGTTGGTGGACTTCTCAGTCCAGCAGTGACACTGAGGTGTTTAAAACTCCAGCAGCACTGCTGTGTCTGATCCACTCGTACCAGCGCAACAGGATCAAATCTTTTTGCAGGTGGCTCAGAGATTTGATTCACAACTGAATCAGTCAAATCATTTTAGTAATGTTTTTTGCAGCAAATGCACTTTTAAAGAAAGATGCTCTAAACAGGTTCAACAGTTCAACTCAGTCAAAATCGGGAACAACATCTCCAGCACCACCATACTGACCACTGGCGCCCCTCAGGGCTGTGTGCTCAGTCCCCTGCTGTTCACTCTGCTGACTCACGACTGTACTGCAAAGTACAGCTCAAACCACATCATCAAGTTCGCTGACGACACGACTGCGGTGGGTCTGTTCAGCAAGAATGATGAGTCAGCGTACAGAGGGGAGGTGCAGCGGCTAACAGACTGGTGCAGAACCAACAACCTGTCTCTGAATGTAGACAAAACTAAGGAGATGGTTGTTGACTTCTGGAGAGTGCGAGGTGAGGTGAGGTGAGGTGACCCCCCCCCCAGCTGAGCTCATGTATGTTATCTGACTGCGTAACTCACAGATCACAGCATGTTAAATATCTCCGCACCTTATTCCACAACCCTACCTCCTGCTCAGAAATGAGTGCTGTGTCGGTGCTGCACTGTCCTGTCTGTTCACTGTCTAATGTCTGTTTTATTTATTGTACTTATTGTGTTGTTTCTAGTTTAATTTTTCTGCACGCTGCACTTTGTACTGTCCATTTTGTTTCACGTTGCACCATGTTGTTCCTTGGAGGAACGTTATTTCACTCCACTGTGTCCTTGTACGTAGATGGAACCATTCCATCTTATCACGAGATCATACGAGACTCACATCCGGAGTTATGAGCCTATGAAGAGGGGCTGAGATACACGTCATCTGCCTCTCACTGTGTGGAACTGGTGGATTCGTGTGTCCATCTACATTCTGTGTGAAACTGACCGATGGACACTCAGGAAATCACTAAGGACTGACCATCACGCTGGAAACCCTTCATTCTTCACTCAGTCCACATCGGAGACTCATGTGAAACGGCGTGCAGAGAGTTTACAGCTGCTGAAGCTGCTGCAGCGGGTTTGGAAAGTAGTGATGATCATATTTATCTAATATTTTAATCATATATTCCACTGTTTTTGTGATCCTGGACTTTGGTGAACCCATTTCAAGCACCAAAACAATTCGTCCACTTGAGTAAAGCCGTGTTTTCACAAGAGACATTAAGAATTTCTAAAAACAGAATTATCTCTGTACACAGAGATGCAGGTCAAAGGGCCTCAGTATACACTGTTAGAAATAAAGGTTCTGTTCAGGTACGTTTCTCGTTCATCAAGGTACAAACAGTGTAAATGTTCCCTCAAAGGTTCAACAGTGGTTTTAAGGTCTGATTGTGAACCTTAAATAAGTTTTTCCAGGTGAAAAGTTCGTATTTGTACCTTTTCATAATCAAATGTTTTAAAACTAGTGCATGGTTTAGTACCTTTATCTACAAGTGTAAAGAGAGCCAAGACTGTGTGAATATGTGGGCATCATGTCATACGCAACTGCCTATAAAGGTGACTTTAAGAATATATGCACAAAAATCAAGAACCTCAGAGGGTTAATTATCCTTCTTCAGGCATTATTATTTAAGCATTTTCTTTAAAAAAATCCCACAAAGGTTCCCTTTCAACAGAACGCTAAACACATAATTCACTGTTTGGGGTTCTTATTAGTGACTTCATGCACCTGGCAAGCTACTATTTCCTGGAAATGCTGTGCCAGCCCTTTCTTCTGAGCTTTGCATGCTTTAAGTGCCAAAATACAACACTGTGAAAGAACAACACAGAAGAAACAGGTCAAATGTCAGCAGCCACTTTCAGAGACAACTGCATGATGAATAAAACCACTAATTTATCCTGATCAAGTTCATGGCTCTCTTTTCAGTCCAGGTTCTGGACTGCACCCTCAGCAGAGCCTGAAATATTTGTCCGAACCCGACAGGACCTGACGGCTCATGTTCTAACGTCACTTCTCAAACATGTGTTGAGCTCGGCTCAGGTTCGTATTTCACTATGGGGTTCTCACAGACCGCCTCCCGCTTTAGTCCACCTGCATTTCCTCCTGCTTTAGTTTCACTCCTTAGTCTATTCTACACTTTCATCACTGCCTTAAAAACCTTTTTAATCTGGGATGCTGGAGTCACAAACCGAGCACTGAGGACCACGAGACCCCGAGAGAGAACGGGACACGTGACTCAATTCAGGAAAGGACAGTTTAGTGCAGCTGAAAGAGCATTCGATTTTTTTTTTTTTTTTGCCAAAAAATTTACCTTTTATGTTCAATATGTTCTACACTCTGAGAAAAAAGGTACTAGACTGGGGCAGTTCCCCTCTTGTTACTGGGGTGGGACCCTCAAGGCTCCATCTCAGTACCTTTAGTCAGGGAACATAACTGAACCATAATCCACTGAAATGATATGTTCTAAGCTGTACTGATTCCACACACCCCGTCTCGTCTCCAGGCTTTTATTTTACTGTTCTGTTTAAAACATTCGGTTATGAAAAGGTACAAATACAAACTTTTCACCTGGAGAAACTTATTTAAGGTTCACAGCCAGACCTTAGAACCACTGTTGTACCTTTGAGGGAACATTTACACTGTTTGTACCTTGATGAAGTAAAAATGTACCTGAACAGAACCTTTATGTCTAACAGTGTATGTAACATGTTCTGAGTGCAGAAACAAAATGTATCCAGGAAAAGACTAAGAAATGTTTGAAACAGTGTTCGTTATGCAAATAAGTCTGTTGAGGCAAAAGTTAATTGTTTGCACAGCTGGTTATTTTACTATAGCAACTGTATTTTATATTGTATATTATTGTATATTAACCCATTGAGTACGTTAATGTTGTGAACACGCAGGCATCTCCTCCTCTTCACATAGAGCTTCATATACACCTGGTGAGAAAGCCAGCAACAGTCAAGGCAGCTAGTCAAGATTCAGTGTTGATCTCTTTGTCATCTACATAAAATGTATGAGTAATAAACGGACAATTCAGGCGTTTCAGTACCACTTTAGAATAAGACTACCCTTAAAAAGCGTTTATGAATGGGTTATAATTAGTTTATTAATGTTATTAATTAGTTCATAAACACTTTAAAAAGCATGAATAAACAGTTATAACACACTAATTAAAATGCCAAAAGTAAGCTGTTATATATGATGAACATGAATATGAGATAAAGCTGCCGGGTTTAACACCGACTGTTGAAAATGAAAGTTCAGTAACCAGCAACATCTGAACTTTCACAGCATAGACGAACGTGTGTTCACTGTTAGGCAAACAAGTCAGTGTTTCCCCTTTTTATTTATGTGTTGTTACTGCTTATTGATGATTTTAAGGTGTGCATGAACTGATTTATAACCAACAATAAGCTATTTTTAAACCCATTCATAAAAGCTTTATAAGGGTAGTAATATTCTAAAGTGGTACTGAAAACGCAACACAAACAGCTCCTGCTCTTGCTTTGCGAAGCGTTCAGGGTGAAATAAGTCGCGGAGTGGTTCCGGATTAACACCGCGACACGTCGCATCTGGTGTGAAATGGGCGTAGCTCAGAGTCTGACCTTTTGACCTTGCTGCATTCATGGTCCCAGCACCGCGCCAGCTGTGGCACCACTGCCTGAGAGCGGTCCTCCTCATTTAGTGACCACAAATCTTTCTCTTCCAGTGGCCTTTTGTAGCCCTGCACCATCATCCTGCAACAGAAGGACAGACACTCATTCACATGAAGCCCTTAATCATCCTAATAAGTGTTTCTGTTTCAGACAAAACCAACAATAACCAACACACCTGAAGACCTCGGTTAACCAGACCAGGATCGCTTAAATACAGGGTGATTCAAAAAGATTCATCCGATTTCAAAATGATTTATTTCCGTTATAAATCATTACAGATCAATGCAGTGAACTGTAAATAGTTTAAATGAGCATAAAGTTTATTATGTAATTGTACAAGGTCTCAGTCTGAACCTCCTCCAGCTGTACAGACAACATCAACACCATAGTCAGATTCATCCATACTGGATTGAGCATGTCGGGTGTCGCTGCACTCACGGCTCTTTCAGTGCGATTTTGGAGATCAACCAGTGCTGTGGAACCAACGCCGAACGCTCTGAGCTGTTGGAGCTTCACTGCCCACGAAAATCACACTGCACAGTTATGACAGATTCACTCTTATTGAAGTGGAGAACGCAGAACGCTTTCTGCTCAGGGGTCTCATCTCCTCTCAGACTGAAGGGAACCATCTTCCACTGACAGTCGGAAACTCAATGACCCCCTCTTACAATTGGATTGTGATTGGTTCCTCGGCGCCTCACGGTTGTAAATATATTGCGCTTTGAAACCGGATGAATCTTTTTTAATCACCTTGTATAACAAACAAAACTTCTCATGCTGGAATTAGACTTAGCAGTCATTGCTTTGAGGTATATTATGTTGCAAACGTTTCAGGCACTGAAGAAAAGTTTATCTATCTGGGCTTTAAAAGTTTATTTAAGCTGGGCTTACACTACATGACTTTTTGCCAGATTTTAACCCTGATTTGCCCCTTTGCGACTCTCCAGATCGACCGACTGTGTGGATGATCTGTAGTGTGAGAGGAGAAACGAGTGAATCTTTAGTCCTCCAATCAAACTCTGAAGTGATTTTAGACCCTCTGATTTTATCAAACATGTTTAATATTTTCTGACTCAAAAAAGTCCCGCAGTGTGAGAAGGTCAGAGGTTTACTCAATGAGTGATTCAAACAGCCAATCAGAGAGCTAGAAGAGCGGTGAATCAGACGAAGAGAGGCGTATTAACAGCAGAGACAGAGGAGCTGAGTGTAAAACACAGATAAGAGCTGAAATCATGTTTATAATGTATAAATTCCCTTTACGGTTTCAGCTCAGCTGCCGGTCTGTAGTGAAATATTCCTCCAGCTCTCACTGTAATATCAGCATCTCTCACCTCATATTAATCCCCAGTTTACGCCTTTCACTGCACATAAAAGCACAAACAGGTCCAGTGAGTTCAGCTCTGTTTGGGTCACGTGATCTGAGGAGTTCTGGGAGTTTGAGTTCTTATTCGTAGCCCAAACCTGTTCTGTGTTATTCTCTCTCTCAGCCCTGTCGTCTAGTCTGAGCGCCTCACCACAAACAGACAAGACATTCTGTGACAAACTGGTGTTCAGTTTGTGATGAGCTCCGTTTTAGACAACTGTTAGGATTTTAAAAGTAGTGTAGTGACGCCCAGGCTTACTCATAAACATACTAATATTCAAATAAAAATATAGAGACATAGTTTTGCTTCCATTTTAAAGCTTGTGAGGTAAACCAGGTTGACAACAGTCCGAGATCTGGGATCAGAGAGAGGAAAGAAAACTCCTGTTTAGTTGTATTGTAGGTCAAAACATCCTGATCCTGAATCAACAGCTTGCGCTTCATTTTCGCAGACTAAATTACTTAATGAAACCTCCTTCAGGCTAGACTTGACTTTCATTTCCACATGGACTCTGAATGTATCGAAAGACCTCGGTTAGCCTGATCAGGTAAGCTTAAAGGTTCTATATACGACATTTTAAACGTTAATATAGCAGCAAAGAACTATTTTCCATGTAAAGACATAGTGGAGTAACAGAGTCCTGAGCAGAGAGTGAAGCCACGCCCCCTGTGTGTGTGTGTGTGTGTGTGTGTGTGTGTGTGTGTGTGTGTGTGTGTGTGTGTGTGTAATCTGAGCTTCTCCGCTTTTGTTTCCATAGCCGGTCCGGCAGTGCGTGCATGTTAATCCCACCCTGTGAAAACATCGAAACCTCCCCATGTTTTGTTTTGCCCTCCCCAGACAGTGACCGTCCACACAGCATCGCACCACTTAAGGTGGAACTGGAAAATTCAAACAAGAAGCCGAGGCACCTGAATATAGCCTAGCTGCTGCACCTTTTAAGGTGGAATGGGAAATTCGAACAAGAAGCTGAGGTGCCGAATATAGCCTAGCTGCTGCACCTTTTAAGGTGGAACTGGAAAATTTGAACAAGAAGCTGAGTTGCCTGAATATAGCCTAGCTGCTGCACCTTTTAAGGTGGAACGGGAAACTTCGAACGAGAAGCTGAGGCACCTGAATTTAGTCTTAACTGCTGCACCTTTTAAAGTGGAACTGGAAAATTCGAACAAGAAGCTGAGGCACCAGAACCTAGTCCAGCTTCTGCGCCTTTTAAAGTGGAACTGAAAGTCGAAAAAAGAACCTGAGGTACCTGAATGTAGTCTTAACTGCTGCACCTTTTAAGGTGGAACTGGAAAATTCAAACAAGAAGCTGAGGTGCCTGAATATAGCCTAGCTGCTGCATCTTTTAAGGTGGAACGGGAAACTTCGAACAAGAAGCTGAGACGCCAGAACGTAGTCTAGCTGCTGAACCTCTTAAGGTGGAACGGGAAAATTCGAACAATAAGTTGAGGTGCCTGAGTTTGTTCTTAACTGCTGCACCTTTTAAGGTGGAATGGGAAAATTCGAACAAGAAGCTGGCGAAAAAGAAGCTGAAACTTAAAATGAATCTAAAGAGTTTCAGTACTGAGGTGGCAGTCCAGTGGGCGGAGTCTTCCCCATATACAGAGGAGCAGAGGGAGGCGTGGCTACAGCACTGGGAGGGGTTTGGGTTGCTGAATGTGGTTTGAAAAGACAAAGAGATTTACAGTCGTATAACATCTGTCTGAAATGTGACTGTAGTGATGTGACTGATCTGTTTTAAATGGACACACTTACACCTGCTTTCATATGTGGACTATTTTTATCCAGCCTTAGTCCTGATCACTCGAGAAGCATGAAAGAACCAGGTGTAAACAGGGACTTGGAGATTACTTAACAACTCCACACGGGTTGGAGTCAAGTGTGATGATTGAGGTATGCAGTTGGCACTATGCTAACTGGTGGGGTAAACGTCTATAGCTTGTTGGCCACATTAGCCTTGAAGCAACTCTTAGACGCCAAACATGTCTTGGTTCATTGGTTAAGATGGAAAATAGTGCAAATTGTTGCCAAACTATCGCATTAAAATCAATTCCCAACTGTTTTTCTCACCCTGTGATCCACCAGAAGCTGATCTTGGAGAGAAAACAAGCTCCAGCCTCTGGACACGGATTCTGCACACACAAACAACCCTGTTAACCACATCATCATCTGTCAGCGGTCTAATTCAGACAGAAATTGGCTTTGATGACTGTACTCACCGAGTCCTTGACTGCCTGAGAGAACAGAGGAGGCTGGTCTGAGAGGCAGGACAGGATTAGCGAGATCAGCAGCAGGGCGTAGTAGATGTAGAAGGTGGTGTATCTGAATACATTTACTGTGGCCGGCTAAGAAGAGGAGAGAATGTACAGAATCAACATTCAAAGCACACTTTAATTATCAAGGTACAAACAGTGTAAATGTTCCCTCAAAGCTCCAACAGTGGTTTTAAGGTCTGATTGTGAACCTTAAATAAGTTTCTCCAGGTGAAAAGTTCGTATTTGTACCTTTTCATAACCGAATGTTTTAAACAGAACAGTAAAATAAAAGCCTGGAGACGAGACGGGGTGTGTGGAGTCAGTACAGCTTAGAACATATCATTTCAGTGGGTTATGGTTCAGTTATGTTCCCTGACTAAAGGTACTGAGATGGAGCCTTGAGCGTTCCACCCCAGTAACAGTCTAGAACCTTTTTTTCCTGAGAGTGTAGAGGCGATACAGCAAAGACACTGTATCATGCTTAGGGCTGCACGGTATTGTTATGGGGACATTTTAAGGTCTCTGTGTGTGTTTTGTAGTTGAATCTCCATTAAAGCTGAGTTATGGGGACATTTTAAGGCCTCAGTGTGTGTTTTGTAGTTGAATCTCCATTAAAGCTGAGTTATGGGGACATTTTAAGGCCTCAGTGTGTGTTTTGTAGTTGAATCTCCATTAAAGCTGAGTTATGGGGACATTTTAAGGTCTCAGTGTGTGTTTTGTAGTTGAATCTCCATTAAAACTGAGTTATGGGGACATTTTAAGGTCTCAGTGTGTGTTTTGTAGTTGAATCTCCATTAAAGCTGAGTTATGGGGAGATTTTAAGGTCTCAGTGTGTGTTTTGTAGTTGAATCTCCATTAAAGCTGAGTTATGGGGACATTTTAAGGTCTCAGTGTGTGTTTTGTAGTTGAATCTCCATTAAAGCTGAGTTATGGGGATATTTTAAGGCCTCAGTGTGTGTTTTGTAGTTAAGTTTCCATTAAAGCTGAGTTATGGGGACATTTTAAGGTCTCAGTGTGTGTTTTGTAGTTGGATTTCCATTAAAACTGAGTTATGGGGACATTTTAAGGTCTCTGAGTGTGTTTTGTAGCTGCCGTTTGGCTGAATGGTTAAGTTACTCATCTCCCGTGTGGGAGAGGAGGTTTAGTCCCAGCGCAGAGAAGCAGGCTTGTACCGGTCTGTGCCAGTAACGTAACAACAACTCTCTGGCACTGCATGTGTGAGGTAAATAGATCTGTTCTCATCGCTTCTCTAACAATGTGTTTATCATGGAAGCTCATATTGCGATAACAATAAAAATACGATTTAGCGTGCGGCCCTAATCATGATACTTAACATATGTGTATTTAATATATATATATATACACACACATATACACACACACACACACACACACACACACACACACACACACACACTGGGGGGAAAAAAACAAAAAGTTTCTAAATACTTGTTGCGTCTCACTGTATTATCATCAACGTCTGAGCAGTGGTGGACAGTTTACGCTGTAGTTTCAGGCTCACCTCATTAACCGCCTGCAGGATTTTGGATCGAAAGGTAACTGTAGCACAGACCATAGCAACCAGCCAAAAATTGAGCATTATCCCAGAGGACTGGACCCCCTTCATCCGCTCATACTGGATCAACAGCGTAGCCAGCAACTGTAGGACAAATACACACACACACACAAACAAACATTGACTGTGACTAGATCCACTTTAGATAACGGCCTGTGGCTTTTCTCTGAGATCAGCATGCAAATAATGTAAATAAAGAATAAAAGAGGGCAGAACAAATCCCTAAACGCTCAGTGTGTTCTCACCAGAGCTCTGCAGGAACCAGTTCTGTTTACTGCAATCACATTTTGATTAATTTGTACCTTCCTGAGTATTTTTGAATGATACCTACTTCTACTTAAGTACACTGGCAAGAACAGTAACCCACGTTTTCCACAGCTTTAGTCATTAACATTTAGTTCCTGTGCTGGTTCAGCTCCTGTTCTGCTTTACTGTTGAGCACTTCTCTCACTTCAGCATTTAAGACCAATGAGATCCAAGAAGGAGAGAATGGAGCTGTAAAGCTTCAGTTCCATTTAAGACAGAATGGAAAATTTGAATAAAAAGCCAATTGCGCTCTCATGGTTCCTGTGCTGATAGATGCTGGATGTTCTCAGACGTTTCACTGCAGTTCTAGACGTTACTCAGTACTTCAGTAGCTTTTTATGCAGCTACCTTTGCGCTTCTCTCAAGTTCTTTTACTGCACTCTGCCGCTGGCCATCACAGTGGGCAACACACCTTACTTTCCATAACACCCAGAAAACAAGATGATTTGGAATATGAAAATTTGTGCCTGGAGATATTTTTTGGTTCAGGTTTTTCCACTGAAGACTAAACAGGATTTGTTATTTTAGTTGTTTTTTTTTGTTTTTTTTTACACAATATGTAGCTTTTAAACACCCTGTGTCCACTCACTGTCCACTCTATTAGACACTCCTACCTCGTCAGTCCACCTTGTAGATGTAAAGTCAGAGCTCATCTGCTGCTGCACAGTTTGTGTTGGTCATCCTCTAGTCCTTCATCAGCGGTCACAGAACGCTGTTGGCTGATTCTCAGTCCAGCAGTGACACTGAGGTGTTTAAAACTCCAGCAGCACTGCTGTGTCTGATCCACTCAGACCAGTGCAACACACACTAACACACCACCACCACGTCAGTGTTACTGCAGTGCTGAGAATGATCCACCACCCAAATAGTACCTGCTCTGTGAGGGTCCTGTGGGGGTCCTGACCATTAAAGAAGGGTAACAAAGTATGCAGAGAAACAGATGGACTACAGTCTGTAACTGTAGAACTACAGAGTGGAACTATATGGTCAGTGGAGCTGATAAAATGGACAGTGAGTGTAGAAACAAGGAGGTGGACTTAATCAACTGGCCTTCTATGGCCAAGGAACTATTTATTACCATCATTCTCATTTTTAAGATCGCAGTTATGTCTACAATCTAAAATTGTAGCATTTCTCTGAAAGAAGCACTGAATTTTTTTTTTTCTATACTAATATCTCACCATGGTAATGCCAAGCATTGTGGGGCTGACTAGGTAAACGGGTGCGCTCGCGACTCCGCGGCCTCTTTCCCAGAAAGAGTAAAAAACATCTGCCCAGCAGACAATCCATAGCAGAAACCCAGTAACCTACGAGGAGAGAAGAAAAACACAGAGATAAGAAAAATTATCTTGAACAAACACTCCAAGGAGAAACTAAGAGGAGAACCACTGCTGTTTCACAAAGACCTAAAGCAGATCACACCATACAGAGGATCCTCAGACAAACTGATGCAACACTGAAAGTAAACGAGATCATAAGTGAGGAGTGTTACAGGGAGGTTTGCTAGGAGTGAAAGCTTTTCTCTTATATATATATATATATATATATATACTTATATATATTCTACTACTGCAATTAAAATGATAGGATTTCTTCTACTGAGATGTTCCATTTCCATGTCAGTGCACTAATCTTTGACACATTTTGAAGGCATTTTTAAAGGGCTTATATCAGAAGTTGAGTAGAACTCAATTTTCCTTGCTTTTTTGACATAAAAGAGCTTGATGTTATATAAAAACATTTCAAAGTGTACCATGTGGTCGTTATCTAGTCCACATATGGAAACTATGCTGCTTGTTCTGAATTACAGAAGAGTTTCTACCTACAAGCTGTCAGGCTCCTGAACAAGCTGTGATGCTGTGGGTCCCCAGGTACCATTTCACTCAGTCACTCGATCAGTATTATTTATTATATCTTATACAACGGTCAGTTCCGGCCACGCGAGCTGATTGGTTGAGAAGCGCTCTAACCGTGCTGTTATTTCATAAACACAAATACTATCACTCCGCTGAGACGCCGTTGCTAAGCAACGACTTTGACAGCTGTAGGAGACGCTCAAGCCATTTGAACGTTTTTACTTCTTACTTTGCCACAAACAGAAAATGGACACTTTTAAGATCACATTTGACCGACAGCCGTTTGGTCAGACTCTGAAGATGAGACGACACTAAATTCCCAAACTGTCATCACCACTGAGCAGCTTTTCAGTCGGCAGCTGTGACAGAAGAACAGCTGAACAACTTGGAATCAGCCAGAAATGAACCCAACACCATTCGCCAAACGTGTAGTCTGATCTTCAGAGTCTGACCAAATCAGACTCAGCCATAAAACTGCCGCAATAAAAAAGGTACCTTTAAAACAATCCACCTCTATGAATATGTAATTGGATTTGTCTACAACACAGACTAAACTTCACTTAGTGCACCTTTAATCTTGAGGGCAGTATTTAAAACAGCCAACTGCTTTTAACAGATATTATGCACGCTAACCTTTTATTCTCCAGGGTATATTTGGGTTTGTCCATCTGAATTTACGTGATCAAATCATAAGGCAAATTATTCAGTAACTGCATGAAATAAATGTAATTTTTATTTTATTTATTTATTTTTTGTAAAAGCTCCCCTCAAATTACCAGAAGTGTTTTATGATACACATATTGCTATATGCTTACAATTTACTGCTGAAAGCCAAAAATCTTAGACGCTCTTTGTATTATTTTATAAAAATAATGTTTACAGAGCAGATCACTGAAGAGACGCCATCTGTTTATAGTTTATAGTCCTGATTTGTGGAAAAACGGGTCGACTTTCAGTAGAGAAAGTTCAGCTTCTTTTATTATAAGGGTTTAAAATGACATCACCCATCTATTTGACTGGAAAGAAGACAGTTACAGCTCTCATACGACCCCCACCTTTAGAATGAAGCTTATGAATATGAAAGTTATGAAGAATATGACGAAGTACGTTTTGGAACCACCGGTGGTCCCACGGAGTTGAAGAGGTTAAATATAAGGTTTTTACTTGTACATTTTATCTGTATTCAGATCATAATAAAATCATATGAAATGAAAGATGTTATAACTGACTATGTGCATCTTTTTTAAGGCTTAATGACACTTTTCCAATGAAAAACATCAATAAATACCTTAAATACACATTAAAAACACATTAAGTTTAAGCCTAACGTTACATGCTGTTGTGTTTCATACTCACTGTTTTGGCTTTGTTGAGGTGGGTCATACATATGTACCCACGATCATGGCTTTTGAGGTAAAAGAAGTAGAACGGAGCAAACAGCCAGAGGTAGAGGCAGGGGATCCAGACCAGCACAGTGTTCTGAAAACACTGGGTCAGGTCTGGGTTGTGCGTGTGCCATGTGCGGTTCCAATCCTGGGAACATAAAGAGACGGTCATTATTCATTCAGTCACAACCGAGTGAAGAAAAAAGGGTTTGTTTAAGGACTTTGTCCAATAATATCTGCCTGCAGAGCCACAGTTTCACGCCAGCAGCTTCAAGCTTAGTGGCATTCAGCTCATGCACCGACACTTGTTTTGGTTTTCCTTAGCGAGTTTTAGACTAATCAACATTTCAGCCGTTTTATGTGGGTTTCCAATAAATTTGTGATGAATGTTTTGGGCTAATGTTATATTATAAGCTTTAGACTAAAACAAACTTTGGTTTGAACCAATATAGAGATTCACTGAGTAAATATTACACAAACTACTGCTTAAGTGGCTCTGGTTAGTCTAATGGGTTATGTAGATATATAGCTCAGTTAACTAACCCTTAATACGGGTCTTTATGTGTACAATTACATTATGCATGCAGGAATAATACTTTACCTTAAGCAGCTTAAACTGAGCACAATATTAAGCTTTAGACTAAAACAAACTGTTTTCGAACTTATCCCTACTGAAAAACCCTTAGAGTGGTTTTGTAATGTGTTTTGGCTTATGGCAGGGGTCGCAACCCAAACGTTAAGAGCCATTTTGTCCTTTCAACAAAAATCAGTCCACCTTGGAAACCACAACATTTTATATCTGCTTCACCATCTTGGCTGTAAATGTGTCTCAGTATGTGCTGATGAACTAATATAGACTAAAAATATAATATAAACTAAAACTCAGACTTACTTTGCTCTGCTTTAAGCTTTAGTTCAGCTGTAGCTGCTTTTCTCGCATCTCCAGCAGGAAACTTTTCCTCAAAAGTAGAACAGTTTATTGTAAAATGTCTCTCAACGTTCGACTTTTTACGAGGCTGAAGTCGCTTCTTATTCGCCAGCTTCTTGTTTGAATTTTCCCTTAAATGGTGCAGCAGTTACATTCTGGCGACTCAGGCACCATTTAAGGTGGAATGGGACAATTTAACCAGTTACCAGTGGTTGATTCATATACTGGCAGCAGTATCCCATCAGAGACACTATAAATGAGGAGACCGGCCACTGGTTGAAATGAATGGGATGCTCAAACCACTCAACTTTCCTACAAGGACATTGCGTTCCACTAGCCTGAAACTGCTGGAGTGAGACTGCGGCTCTGCAGTCGGACCCCCTCACTTTGAGAAACTTTAAATAATGGATTCTTTCGCTGGAACCAAATAAACGGAGACCAACGCTGGTGCCCACGTCTATGGAAACAACATAAATACAGGGATAAGTGTACAGACCGAGGCCTAAGTGCACACCACACTAATGACCTGTGCTGGAGAGCGAAGCTCTATAAACACTGAAGAACCCTTTACTGGGAAGTGAAGTGAATCCTATGAGTGAGTTTGGTCAAGAAGAGTTTATAACCCAGAACAGAGACTCCTTTATTCTAAAACAAAGACAGGCCGCTCATTAGGGGTGGGCGATATGACGGTACTTCATAATTATCGTGATAAATGATGTTACAACACGCATTTCTGAGCATATCGTGGAGATCGTCAGAAAATAACACTGATCAGCTGTATGTGGCATTACAAAGAGTGCATGATTAGACCTGTTTAATTGGGCTTAATGCAGGGCAGAGTGTGAAATATTCAATAAAAATCATTATATAATCTACATATTCACCATTTTGACATTATTTCTGAAAATGTGGCACTGCTGGAGCTTTTCTTCTGTTCTAACATCAAACTTTTCTGTTCCACTTACCAAAAACATAATATTGTGATAAGTATCAAGTATCGTGAATACATTTTCAAGTATCGTGATACTGTATTTTTTCTATATCACCCAGCCTTAATGCTGATATGAGGTGCAATACGGATATGTGATCATTTTTAATGCTTGGCAACGTTATCGATATCAGCATAGGTGTCAACCTATAATACTTCATATCAGATTTAGTTGGGGTTTTTTTTTGGTAATTTTCTTTTTATTGGGGAAAATCTCTTGAAAAGAAAAAAAATGTCAAAATTCACATAATACTGTCGATATCAATAACAGTATGTTATGAATTAAAAAAATATATAAACTAAATTACTTTAGAACTTAAAAAAGGGGGGAGGGTTTTACAAACTAGATACAAAATGAATGAAATAAATATTCATTATAAACTAAATCATCAAAATTTCTGACTTTCTCTTAAGATTAGGATCCTAAATTCTCCCTAAAAAAATTTACATTACAAGTGGGGAAGCGCAGTCTTTAACAGAAAGGAGAGGAAACAAAAAGAGGCTATAACATTTAGTAATATTAATAGATATATAGACACATCCATGACAATGTTCTGTACATTTTGCAACACAGTTGTTTTTTTTTTTTAAATTAATGCACTTTAAACATGGCATCCAGGACCTAACAGTTAAAGGGCAATTCCACCAATTTTTCAAAATATCTGCATAATTCAGCCATTGAGATGTATTCAGCATCCTTTTTTATTATCCAAAACCACCAGTGAACCTACACGTGTTTTATATGAAACACTAATGACGGTAAAATAGTGGAAAATCTGAAATAATAAGTTTTCTTTGAGGACTACTTTGCCTCACAGCACCCTGCATGTATCCCTCCACCATGAATGGAGTTTAAAACTATATGTTTTAGGCCACAAACTATCATAAAACAGTGTCTCAGTCATCAGGCAGTGAATTCATAACCATTTCATGTAGTAACTTTCTGTGAGGGAGCTTTTAGAGGTGGACGTCTGGTTCCTATCACCACCACTGTGAACAGTTCTGACTCAGTAAGTTTCTCTAGAACAGAGCGTTTCACACCAAACCACTCTGAACGACTCTGTTTACATCTTAACCATTTAATTATACAGAAATTTTGGAAAACTGGTGGAGTTCCTCTGCCTGAGATTCCCCTGCTTTTAAAAAAAACAGCTCAAATGCATAAAAAGCTAAATAAGTAGTAACGTTAGGTTCTGAAAATGTGTTTTCTAAGTATATATATATATATATTTGACACATCACAGTGTGACACAACTGGAAAATACTGCTGACCAATCACAGCTCCAGATAAGTTTCTGTAGGTGTTCTGATGAATTAAAGTGTTCATGTTTTCCAACATATGTTAAGACTTTTGGTCAAAAACAATCTTTAAATCACATTAAACCCTCTCTAACAGGGTTTTAACATACAGCGCGGCACTCTGCAACCACAGTCTGCAGCAATACAATCACCACCCGGCACTGCGTCCACACCATTCAGCCCTTCTCAGCACATATACCTCCTCCCTCGTAAAGGCTCGTAAAGGCAGCACACATCAACAACCAGCCTGATTTATAGTGGAAAAAGTAGCTCGTAGAACATCTGCAAAGGCCAATAAGGTCTATTTTTAGGATGTAAACAACACAGAATTTCCTCAAGGTCGATTACATTACAGCAAGTTCAGTAGAGTTTGGCGATGAACCTGTTCACACTAACTAAACCTGGGAGAAAAGTGCATTAGATCAGGAAAAATCAATGCAATGTAGTAGAATTCCATCTATAGGACTCAATATAAGTACTTCCCTTTACTCAGGTCCATATTTTCACATGCTAATACTTCTACTAGGCTATATTAGTAATCTTCCTTTCACTCAGTTCCATTTTAGTCATTAATATTTACTTCCTAATTCCTTTGTTTGGGTTGTTTCAGCTCCTGGCCTGCTTTACTGAGCTCACTTTTTGGAGTATTAGCATTTTAGACCAAAAGGGTCCAATAAAGAGAAGAATACAGCCAGACTTCCTATGCTGATATATGCTGGGTGGGCTGAGAGGTTTCACTGTAGTGCTTTAGAGGAACTCAGCACTCAAGTTTTTCCACTTCAGACTGTTTTTACTCAATGCTGGTTTGTCGCTAAGCTACTTTAACCTCTTCCTGAGTGTTTATTTCACTGCAGTTTCACAGCACAACCTCACAGAAAGGTACGCGTGCGGGTTTCGGATCTCAATCATCTCCGCACGCTGAAAACGTGTCAAATTTACATATTTAACCACGCTGTCCGTCTGCTCTCGCTGTATTCCAGCTCCAGCACTCGTGAACTGAACTTCTAAAATAGCTGACTGCATTAAAAGGGGAAGTCCACCAATTTTCCAAAAAGTTCTACACGATTAAATGGTTAATTCGTAAACAGAGTCATTCAGAGTTGTGAAATGTTCTGTTCAACACACTTACAAATGAGGGTTCTTTAGCAAAGAAAGTGGTTCTATATAGAACCATGAACACTCAAAGAACCCTTTGTATAATTAAATGTTTTTGTGCATCGTGAAAAGGTTCCTCAGATTGACGGAGAATGTGCGGTAGACGGTTCTGTATGGAACCTTTTTGAAAAGGGTTGTAAACAGCACTAAAACAGGTTCCTCTATTGTCACAGGATAAACATCTTGACAATGGAAGAACGTTTTTTTGGTGCTATATAGATCCCTTTTCAAAAAGGTTACATATAGAACCGTCTACAAAAGCTTCGTAACAATAGAAGAACCTATTTTGGCACTATACAGAACCCTTTTCCAAAAAGGTTCCATATAGATCGTTCCACAGCACATTCTCCATCAATCTGAGGAACTTTTTCACGATGCAAAGAATCATTTAATTATGCAAAGGGTGTTCATGGTTCTATATAGAACCACTTTCTTTACTAAAGAACCCTTGAAGGACCATCATTTTCAAGAGTGTAAATAAACTGTGAAATACTCTGTTCTAGAGAAACTTACCGAGTCAGAACTGTTCACAGTGGTGGTGATAGGAACCAGACGTCCACCTCTAAAAGCTCCCTCACAGAAAGTTACTACATGAAATGGTTATGAATTCACTGCCTGATGACTGAGACACTGTTTATGATAGTTTGGAGAAGATTTAAGATCCATTCATGGTGGAGGGATACATAATATGCAGGGCGCTGTGAGGCAAAATAGTCCCCAAAGAAAACTTATTATTTCAGATTTTCCACTATTTTCCATCATCAACATTCCATATAAACTCAGAAGACTCGTGTAGGTTCACTGGTGGTTCTGGATAGTAAATAAAATGTCTATATCTGTGTTGTAGTCATGGCGACCCCTGGTTCCCATCACCACCACTGTAAAGACATCCGAACCACTGATTTATGCAGGAATTTTAAAAGACCGGTGGAGTTCCCCTTTAACTGAACTGACGCAATGAACTTGAAATATCTGTTCAAACATCACAGCTGCCATAAAGTAAACGCATCGCTTTACAATCAAACGGAAAAACAAGAAGCTCGACACGAGGCTTAAGTTGGGCTTCCTTTCCTATTCGCCAGCTTCTTGTTGGAATTTTCCCGTTCCACCTTAAATGGGGCAGCAGTTACACTTCTAGTGCCTCTGCCAAACTTTTATATGTCTTATTCGCCAGATTGTTGTGCGAATTTTCCAGTATACATGTACTTGCTGGGCCATTTAAGGTGGAACGGGAGAATTCGAACAAGAAGAATAAGAAACTGAGCAGCTTCGTAAGCTCGACTGTAGCCGGATTATCGCCGCGTCCCAAACCGCATACTAGCCCGCTAAATAGTGTGTAAAATAGCGCGTATACCATTAGAAGTGCACTTATTAGTGTAGAGCGTGAAGCACAGAAGTGTGCGGTTTGGGACGCGGCGTATATTACATTACTACAGCTATGGCACGAGTTGCTAGCTAACGCTGTCACCTTCACAGCAGGAAAGCTTACATAACAATACTGAGAACACAAAGGAGGCGTCAGCAACAAGAAGTCAGCGCTGTGTCAAAGCATAAAAAACTCTATTTCCACTTTCTGGACCTTTTCAGACACAGCCAGCCGGCCGGTTTAGCTAATGCTAAGGCTAAAGCTAACGCTACCTGTTTAAGTGGCTTGGTTAGGAGACCGGCAGGCACCTGGCAACGAGATCAGCGATTCGGAGCCAAAATAAATGTACAAAAACGAAACGTCGACCCACGGAACTGATGGATTAACTCACCCAGAAGGGGTCAGAGCCGTCAGGGCTGCAAAAGCTGTCAATACCCATTCGCCGCGGCTGATTTGGTGAGGTTTGCTGGAGAGAGTCGCTCTGCTCTCATTCCTGCTGCGGAGACTTGGAGAGGGCGCCGACAGGGGGCGCGCTGACAGCTATAACAGCGCATTGAGGGCAAAACAAACTGACGTCACTGCTCCACACGCGAAGCGTGACTTTGCTGGTTTTCGTTCCGTTTTTTATTTTTATTTTTTACATTTATGCTAAACTTTTGAGAGGTAAAACCAAACGTACGACGTGTTTATGATAAAAAACGTAGTTTTATATTTAATGTGCCTTTGCTGTAAGGCTGAACAATTTAAGGAAAATATCTAATTGCGATATTTCCAACTAATATTGCAACTGCAGTTTAAATTGCGATTATTTTTTTTAATAAATTAAGATTCAGGCCTGATTTATTTGGAGCAAGAAGACCAGAATATCCACGTTTTCTGGCTTGAGGCTCCACCCCTGAACGGTCAAACTGCCAGTAAGCTGTGGTTGTGATGTCTCAACACATGGAGGTTTGGTAGCCTCTGATTGGTCTAGCTCATCTTCAGGCATTTTCAACAAGCTCCGAGTTATTGGGTTCAATTTCCCCTCTTAAAACTTAAAACAGTGTTTTTGATAATGTTCACACTTTTAAAAAGAAGGTCCTTCAAGGGTTCTTTGGTAAAGACAATGGTTCTATATAGAACCATGAACAACCAAAGACTCATTTATGGAGAATGTGTTCTATATAGTTCTAAATAGCACCAAAAAGGGTTCTTCAATTGTTACAAGCTTGACATTGTAACAATAGCAAAACTGTTTTTGGTGCTATATAGAACCTACACATTCTCCATCAACCGGAAGAGTCATTTCACCATGCAGAGAACCGTCAGGCAAATGAGTCTTTGGTTGTTCATTGGTCTATATAGAACCATTGTCTTTACCAAAGAATCATCCTTTTTTAGAACCTTAAAGAACTATCTTTTTTAAGAGTGTAAGCTATAATTTAAAAAGAATTGCAGCTCTTGCGATTTGAAAATTGTTCCGGACTCAGACACAGCCTCGGGCTTTAAGCCTAGGCTAAAAACTTACTTGTTTAGTGGAGCCTTTGGTAATTAGTTTTCCCTGTCAGATAAAAGGTGCAGATCTGGGGGTTTATGGTAATAGAGTATTATGGTAAACTGGGAGTGCTGGTGCTGTCGTCCCGCTGCCTCACTCACTCACTCAGGTTTGTTGACGGTGGAGCAGAGGGGTGCCGACATCTCAGGGAGCCTCATGACTCTGTTACCTTTCTGGTTTCTCCCTCTTAGTGAGGCTGTAATATCCAGACCTGCCGGAGTCTCTGCTGCTCTGTTACACTGTAATCTGTGATCCTACAGAACTGACTCTCTGTGTGTTTTCCTTTCTTTGCTTCCTTTGATCGGGTGCCACTGCTCGCCAGGCCTCTGGACCGGCTTGACCACCATTGAGCTTCATGCTGTACAACGCTGTGCAAACCTCGCCCTCATGAACTGACCCTCCTGCTGCTGCTGCTTAAACTAAACTAATCTAATTAACCGTTGCTCCGCCTGTTTTCCCCGTTTTGTACTATAATACTTTATTCTAACGCTGTTTGCTATCCGGTGTCGACCAGGGGAGGATGGGTTCCCCTTCTGAGTCTTGGTTCCTCTCAAGGTTTCTTCCTCTTGCTCTTAGGGAGTTTTTCCTTGCCACTGTCGCCACTGGCGACACTCATGGGGGCTCAGACCCGGAATTTTCTGTAAAGCTGCTTTGTGACAACACCTGTTGTCAAAAGCGCTATATAAATAAACTTTGCTCTGTGCTCTTAAATTGCGATTTCGATACAAAAACGATTAATCGTTCAGCCCTACTTTGCTATGGATTATCTCCTACTTTTATTTCACAGTTTTATATTATATGTGAGCAGTTATTGTTACTGCCTGTAATAATGTTCCATTTGTGTTTGTTAATAAGAATATTTATGTATAAAACAGTTTGATTTCCATCACAATATATCGTGCAGTCTTTAAAAAGATGGTTCTTCAAGGGTTCTTTTGTACAGACAGAATCAAGAATACTCAAAGCATCTGCATGGTGAAATCAAATTGATGGAGAACGTGTTGTATATGGTTCTGCATAGAAAAAAGGGGGTATAGAACCTATATGGAAACATTTACAGCATGTTCTCCATCAATCTAACCATGCAGAGAACGTTTTATGCCTGCAAATGGTTCTTTGAGTGTTCACGGTTGTGTATAGAACCATTGTCTTTAGTAAAGAACCCTTGAAGAACCCTTGTTTTATACCGAAATACATGCACAATAGTCATATATCTTTTTCTTTGGGGACTATTTTGCCTCACAACGACCTGAATGTGTCAATCCGCCATAAATACACGTTTAAAAAAGATGGTTCTTCAAGGGATCTTTAGTAAAGGCAGTGGTTCTATTTAGAACCATGGGTTCTATATACAACCTTTATAAAAATATAGCACCAAAATGGTTGTTCTGTTGGTACAAGCTTGACATTGTAAGCAAAATAAGAACTCTTTTTGGTGCTACATAGAACCATATACAACCTATTCTCCATCGGTCTGAAGAACTATTTCACAATGCAGAGAACCCTTTAAGCATGGAAATGATTCTAAACAGAACTCACGATTCTAAATAGAACCTTTGCCTTTACTAAAGAACCCTTGACAAACCATCTTATTTGAAAGATTTATGTGTAGATTGAGACATTTTAGATCAAAATCTTCTCAAAACTCTCATAAAACAGTGTCTCAGTCATCAGGCAGTGAATTCAGAACCATTTCATGTAGTAACTTTCTGTGAGGGAGCTTTTAGAGGTGGACGTCTGGTTCCTATCACCACCACTGTGAACAGTTCTGACTCGGTCAGTTCCTCTAGAACAGAGCGTTTCACACCAAACCACTCAGAATGACTCTGCAAATCTTTACCGTTTGAAAAACTGGTGGAATTCCCCCTCAAGGCTAGACATGATTGAGCTTATTATGATCTGACTCAGCTACAGGACAGCCGGGAACATTGAACCCAGACAGAAAACCTACAGGAAATGGACATTTCTTCTGAAATATGAAGCGAAGATCAGGGCTGAGCACAGTAATCATTTGTATCACTGCTTCTGTTATTGCATTACAGGAAACTGCCAGTAAAATTAGACTTAACTGGGGCTTAAATGTCATTTAAGCCCATTCATTAATCCATTTCAGCTTAAAACCGGTTTCAGGTCAGCAAGACAGCACTGTGTGTGCTTTACAGAAAGTCCCTAACATCAGGGGCGTCGCCCGGCCTGGACTTCCAGAACTACAGCCCGAATATTTTAGAACCAGCCTGAATCTCATAACACTAACATCTCACACCTTTCACCCCAGCCAGGTTAGCCCGCTCCTCCGAGAGAGAGAGAGAGAGAGAGAGAGTGAGAGAGAGAGAGAGAGAGAGAGAGAGAGAGAGAGAGAGAGACAGAGAGAAAGAGAAAGAGACAGAGACAGAAAGAAAGAATAACAGAAAGAAAGAGAGAGAGAGAGAGAGAGAGAGAGAGGGGAGATAGAGAGAGAGAGAGGGAGGCACGAGAGAGATAGAGGGAGGTGCGATAGAGTGAGTGAGAGAAAGAGAGAGAGGGAAGCATGCGAGAGAGAGAGAGAAATACAGAGAGGGAGAGAACGAGAGACAAGGAGAGAGAGTAACAGAGAGAGTGAGAGAGGGATCGTGCAAGAGAGAGAGAGAGAAAGTGGGAGGGTGGTGTGTGCATGAAAGAGAGAGAGAAAGAGAGTGAGTGAGGGAGAAAGGTGAGAGAGAGAGAGAGAAAGAGGGAGGGAGGTGTGTGCATGAGAGAGAGTGAGAGAGATAGAAAGAGAGAAAGAGAAAGAGGGAGTAAGGGAGGATAGTGAGAGAGAGGGTGAGAGAGAGAAAAAGAGAGTGAGTGAGGGAGAAAGGTGAGAGAGAGAAAGAGAGAAAGAGAAAGAGAGAGTGAGGGAGGATAGCGAGAGAGAGGGTGAGAGAGAGAAAAAGAGGGGGAGAGAGAGAGAGAAAGAGAGTGAGTGAAGGAGAAAGGTGAGAGAGAGAGAGGGAGTGAGAGAGAGAAAGAGGGAGGGAGGTGCATGAGAGAGAGTGAGAGAGATAGAAAGAGAGAGAAAGAGAAAGGGTGTGAAGGAGGATAGCGAGAGAGAGGGTGAGAGAGATAAAAAGGGAGAGAGAGAGAGAAAATGTCTCTTTGAAGTTCACAGAAAGTGTGTTGCATTACCTCGTTATTTAAAGTACAATAACAATGCAGCCAGATTAGTTACTGTTTAAGTTAAAATCCAAAATCAGTTTCCATTGTTTTTAAATACGTTTGTACATAAACAATGTGAAGCCCAGTCAGAGTCTGATGATGCTCATGTGTACCTGATATTTTGTCGGCTCGTCGGGCAGCAGAACAACAGTGTTTACCAGCGCACAAAATTACCCAGATGCAAGGTGCGAAATACAGGGGGTCCTGGGGGGCCGGGACCCCGTCATTAACCTCCTTAACCCACTGAATGTCTCAAAATCAAAACCAAAAATGATGCTCTGGAAAACTAGACACTCAAACATAAATTCAGGGAAAGATCATTGTTTATCCTACATTCTTAATAAAGACGGTTCTTTAGGGGTTCTTTGGTAAATAAAGTGGTTCTGTACAGAACCATGAACACTCATGATCAGAGAGTTCTTTGCATCATGAAAGTGTTCTTAAGAATGTGCTGTGGATGGTTCTATACAGAACCCTTTTGAAAAAGGTTTCTTCTATTGTTACAATGTCAAGCTAGAAGAACCCTTTTTGGTGTTATAAAGATCCCTTTTCAGAAAGGTTCTATATAGAACCATCTACAGCACATTCTCCATCAATCTGAAGAACCATTTGATCATGCAAAGGGTTCTCTGAGTGTTCATGCTTCTATACAAGACGTCTATCTCCTCTACTAAGCATCTCTTTAAGAGTGATACCTCACAATCAGCTTCTGTCTTTGGTGTTCCTAACTAACTAGAGCCGCAGCACTGCTCTGCCTCAGGGTGGCGCTGTAGCATATTAGTTCAGGGGTCAGCAAACATTTTATGTCCATTTTACTATCTTGGCT